TTGTTGTGGCTCCTAATCGAGTGCTACCACATTAGTGAACAAAATGGTAACACATTAAAGGTGGATTTATCATTTTTTCCAATTATTGGAAGAGTTATAAGATAGAAGAACTGGAACAGTATGATTACATTCACTGACAAGTGAGCCACAAATACTATTACATTGAACAAGAAACTGGCTGAAACACACAGAATATAGATTGTGTCTGAGGAAATACAAAATGACAAAATAAAAAATACTGCCATCTAGCCATCACCTCGAATGTTATCTCGCAGAGTTTAGACAGGGAAAAAATGGAACGCAGGAAATATAATTTTGTCAGCAATTTATTTAAAATAATAACATAATTCAACAAAACTTATTGAATATAGTACAAAGTCTGTAATCCGGACCTCAAAGCCACAAACTTTATTTTGTATGCTTTATGCATGTGCGTAATGCGTTTAAGCATGCTCGTTTAATGTATAATGAACGGTATAAGTTAGGCTAAAATTATCTTTACTGATTGCAAGGCATTTCAGTTAATGTTGCAGATTGGGCTGTTCCTTAATCTTCTAATTGGATCCGTCTTATTATATTTTGCAGACTGTTAGAGCAATTTTATAAAAATTAAGCTTGAACTTTCGATTATTTCCAAAATAGTTTCCAATTCTGGAGCTGCCAAAGGATCTACAAATCAAAAAGCATGTTTTGATGTCCATCAAACAAAAAGACTTTTTGAATTTTTTTAGCATAAAATCTGTTGTGTGGAGCATCGCAAGATCGTGGGAGGATGTGTCTCCGAACGTAAAAAATGCTTGGCATAATTTATGGCCAGCTACCATATTTGATGGTGAGGACGATGAAGATGATAGCCACAAATTTGAAGGTTTTCGGACATCGCAAACTAAAGGTGAAATTTTCCAGTTATTAGATTTTGTAAAGAAAGGTGGAGAAGCGGTAATAAATGAAGATGATATATCAGAAGTTTTTCATTGCGACGACAATGTCCCAATCATCAATCAATTAACGAACAGCAAAATCTGCAGTGTGGTTCTAGATCCAGAAAATACCTCCTCTGATAGTGAAGAAAGTGACAGAGAAGTTATTGAAAATGAAAAAATTTCGATTGACAAGTTAATCGGAATTCTCCAAACGGTAGTCACAGAACTTCAACAATGTAACTAAACAAGAGATTATGTCTGTCTACAGAATTAAAGAGAAAGTATTAGCATCAAAAACGAAGTAACTTGCATTGAAAGAAATGTTTAATAAGGTAAACCAACAAATATTAAGTTTTTTTTTTTTTTTTTTGGGTACAACTCTAATATACGCCCTAATTTCACCAAATGTGGCGATATGTGTTCTGCGCTGCTTTTTGGCGTGATTGCGTATTCTATGGCAACCCTGTTGACGTTGAAAAATCTTTCGTTGGAGCACGTTGGTCCGCCTCTGTGTCTGAGAAGATGGGAGGGAAAGATAAAATGGTAGTTGTTGAATTGAAGTTCAGCAAAAGGAAATATGATTGTGGCTATCCTGTTGAGGGGTAGTGGGTATTTGGAAGTGTGGAAAGAGGGTCTGGGAGATTATTTTGAATGGCAGTGCATGATAGAAGTAGGGATTTGTGATTTTATTTATTTGTAAACCATAGTATAAATTTTCTGGATAGTGTGTCTGGCTGTCATGTAAATATGATAGTGATTACGTGGCAGTATGAAATTTATATTTCTGCTATTCGAAAACGCATTAATTCATGGTAAGTGCATTTTATTTTATCCTTCTTCTTATTTTGTAGAATGTTATGCTCATTGGTTTTTTTACTATAAATTTATGTTGTTATTGTAGTTTTTTGAATTATTTGTAATTTATTTTAGTTTATTTTGTTGATTTGTGCGCAATGTCTAGATTGTGCAATTCGTAGATGTTTTTTTAAGTTTTAACAGAAGGTTGTGTACATGGTATTCTTTGAAATTTATTCTTGTTATGTTAATTTATTAAAGGGAGGTGTGCGTAGATTCGTAGATTCCTTCCTGTTGGCTATATTGTGCAATTCGTAGAATTTTTTTTTAAGTTAAAACATATCGCTTGTGTACATGGTATTCTTGAAATTTTATTGTTGTTATGTTAATTTATTAAAGCAAGGTGTGCGTAGTTTGTAGATTCGTTCGTTGCCTACATTGTGCAATTCGTAGATGTTTTTTTAAGTTAAAACATGTCGCTGTGTACATGGATTCTTGTCAAATATTTTTGGTTAGAAAACTTTACGTTTTTGCTTTCTAAATTTTTGGTTTTTGTTTCGGATTTTTAGCTAAATTGTGTGTTCAAAACGTAGTTTTTGCATGTGCGAAAACCACGTTTTTCGAGACATTTTAGGCTAAAACTTCAAAATGTAAACAAAAAATTTAGATAGTAGTATGGTAGCGTGAAGTTTCTCGCCAAAAATATTTGGCGAGAAATTTACCGACTTGAGGGCGCATATCAGAGTAGTTCCTTTTTTTTTTTTTTTTTTTGGTATATTTTGATACCCTTTAAGTCATAATTGCTCTTTATTTCATAAATTACAGTTTCATATTTTTAATTGTATAATTTCTGCATGCCATCTTACCAGATTTAAATTGATGATCTATAATCCGAAATCGCCGAAGTCCCGTTGAGTCCAGATTACGAACTTAGTACTGTATACACATTAATTACCGTATTTAATACTGTAGTAATCTTGAGAGCCACTCAACGCTGGCAAATTCAAAAGAGTTTGAATTCTTAAACCTAGTGCACAGGAGCACTTTTGTGCTTCTGTGAATTCAAGGGATCGTAGAGAATTTGTCTTGCATTAAAGACATCCAGTATCGAATCACAAGGTTATTACCATCTTCAAGGGTATGGGAAACTCGTGCGCTGCTGTACTTCTCACTGGAGCTAATAGATGCCGACACGAGCGAGCAACTACACACTGAATCCACCGAGGTCTCTCACATGAAGTAAGCGCTACAATAGAATTACGTAAGCAGTTCATTTAAAACAGCATTTATTAATATGGAAAAAAAAATCTATTTACTATAAAACATATTGTAAAGATCTGTTTTTCATTTTATTAAATATAATTGTTGAGTAAAAGTATATTTACGGGTACCCCTTAATGAAACATTCTTGGTGGTACATGGATACCGAGTTTGTGCAATTCTTTGACTTGTTATTTTGTCTTGTGTAGCATCGATTTTTGCACATAAAGCCAAAATAACAAGACAAAAAATTGCACAAACTTGATATCCATGTACACATCGATCTATTTTCACTTTAAAAAAATCATAAAAATTGCACAAACCTGGCACTGCATATTCCCTTGACTTAAAACTGTGACTGTTAACTTTAAAAAAAAAAAAAAAAAAAAAAAAAACAGAACAGAAAAAAAAAAAAAAAAAAAAACAGAGAATTGCACAAACTAGGCATTGTGCATTCCCTTGACTTTGTCCATGTACACTTAGAACTATATTCTTTTAAAAATTCAAGGAAGCAGCCAACAATCTCTAATCATATGGTGTAAAAAACTTAGAGGCAAATGTTTAAGTAAATGCAGTATATTAAATGTCAAAGCAGCCAGGCCATATATATATGTAGTATTTTAGGTGCATAGGAAGAATCTGGTACTTTTTAGCATCTTTCAGTATTCATCATGGCTGAGAAGACAATAGTGGCTGAAGATAAAAGCTATGATGACGCAGTTAACGCAACTGAGCTTGAAATATCACAATCTTTATTTTCATGCATATTAAATCATCTTAGTAGACATTTATCCAATCATAAGGTTATATGATAATTTTTATGTACATTGGTTTTTTAAAAGGTATGACGGAGGCATTTTACCAAGGCAAGGCAAAGCAGCGTGGTGTTGGCAGAGCAAAAGTTGGGGGAAAAAAGATGACGTAGTTAATTTATGAGCTGTATTTATACCGAGTATATGCAGAAAGTACTCTTATGCTATGATTGTTTAATTTTTAGTTACCTTTTTCAATCAGTGTTATGTAACATGGATAGATCTCGTATTTGGGAGAACAGAGGAATTCAGGAAGAGAGCATAAAATCTAGAATAATTGATTTTGAGGTCCCCAATTATTTCTTAAAGCAGCCATCGTATTTTGTTATATCTTACATATATACGTTCATAAATATTTGTCATTTCATTTTTATGTATACAGACATGCATTTTGAAATGTGTGTAAACAATTAAAGTAGTATATGTACTGAGAGAAAAAGAGCCAAAAGTACAAAGTAGGAGGGTCATTTTGGAATTATAATCACTAAAATACTGCTTATAGTCTTTTGGGAACCTTTTAAGATTTGGTTGTAAAACCCTTGGCGACTTGGAGAATTAAGAAGTATTATTACAACAATAAGTTATTAGGGGAAACTTTATGCAGTATACTGCATATATATACAATGCATTGTATAAAATTTTAATCTAGTATATGTATACAGTATTTAATATGTTATGGGTGTAACATATTACATGTATGACAGATTAAACACTTGTTTTATAAAAAATATATTTATCTTAGAATAACTGTTTGATAAGATACAGTTATAATATAGTTAACATGCAAAAACGTTTAAATCATTTGAGTCTGCAATATGCACTAGCAGAATAAGGAACTTTTTTTCATGAATCAAAAGCTTAAATCTGACAGAATTCTGTTATAATACATCATTAAAATAGTTTTTCTAGTAAGAGTTATCTTGTGCATTAATACACATTTATCTACACATTTTCAAATCCATTTTACACATCAGTTTCTGCACTATTCAGTTTGTAACATCCGTAAGGTTTTCCAGTCCAGCAATGTCACAGGTATGAAAAATAGGCCAGCACCATGATATTGGTCAAAGTTAATATTAAGAGCCAATATGGGATGCCTATTTTTATTTAAAAATTTAATACAAATTAAATATACATTATTCTCATCATTTTTTTATTTAGATTGTAATTTTAAAAATAATTGAATAAAACTTTAAAATTTATATTTCAGTAGCAGCTGCTCATCTTCTGCATCTCGTAGTTCTCTTGATACGGATAAACCAAAGAGGTACCGTCAAAAATCTTCCAATAGAGATCACTCATATCTTAAAAATCATAAAAGAAGAAGCAGAACTCGCTCAAGGACTAGAAAGGCAAGAAGTGGATCACGTTCAAAAAGTGGTAAAACTAACAACAGATCAAAAGATATTAAAACTCGAAGTCGATCACGTTCTCGGGGTCGTAACACTAGAAGCCATTCTAAGGAACGTAGAGCTCGAAGCAAATCACGCTCAAGGGATCGTTGGCCACAAAATTTAAAAGACCAAAAATGTAAAAGGAGGTCACATTCCAGGGACCATATTAGTAGATCATCTTCAAGGGGCAAAAAGTCCCTAAGTAGATCTCATTCAAAAGAGAGACATTCTAGGACTAATTCTCATGATCGTAGTTACAATTCTCATTCAAGTACTCACAAAAGTAATAAAAAGAAGCATCAAAGACATTCACCTCTGAGGCATAAGCGTAGCAAGCATACTGCTAGATCACGTTCTCGCAGTCGAGGAAGACGTGCTCGTAGGTCTTCTTCGAGTTCCAGAAGTGATTCTTTAAGTCAGTCTTCTAAACTTTCTAGAAGAAATTCCCATTCTAAATCTTCATCTCCTAGAAGGTACAATATTTATTACAATTTTTTAAATGTTTTACATGAATGTTTATAAAGTTTTTTAATTACAAATGGTGCAAATCACAGAAGACTTTAAAAGATTATGAAGCAGATATTCTTCATAATCTTTTATAATTTTTACATAATTTTCATAATAGTTTGATGTAAATTTAATGTAAAATGTCTAATGTTAGAATATCTGGGACGAAAAGAAACTATATATATATATATATTGATCAGTCTTTCTGTGATTTAAAAGCTGATATTTTAGAAATATATAGTTTTTTAATAGTAGTATTTTTTAATATTTTACATTATACTAATTTTTATTTTAGTTATTAAAGAATTATCTTTTCATATGCTTAATTTTTTTTCCCAGAATCATTAGGTATAACTGCTGAAATTGTTTTTATATAGTATTCCATACTTATCTAGGAAATGTCAAATACTCAAAATACATGTATTTAAGATTAAACCTACGCAAATATTTTTTTTTAATAAATGAAAAGACCTCATTTTTTGTAACTTTGTATTTTATAAAACTGATTTTCTTCTCCTAATATAATATTAATGTATATTAGAAAAATTGGTACTTTCTGATTATCTACGAGGGTAATCCCAAAAAAAAGTTTTCCTATATTTTTAGATATACAAAGAACCGTTTTTTTCTATAATTGCTACATCACTTTAAAGATGAAGAATGCTTTATTTTTCACATAATCGCCATTCGGTTTGTTGCATTTTGTAGACGCTGTGGCAGTTTTACAATGCCCATGTATACCAGCTGCTGCCATGCCTTCAGGAAACGTTGAACCTCATCTTTCACCTCATCACAGAGAACCAAAATGCAGAGAGAATCCAGAGTGATCCTCCGATCTTTACGCCGAGTTCTCAACTTTCGCGATTGTCTCGTCGGCAATGCCGCCCTTAGTTCTTTTCTTCATCTGAATTTCAGTACGACCGGCTGTAAAAATCTACACCACTTGCGAACGTTTTTGACATCCATGCATGACTGTCCATACCTTCGTCATAGGCGGTGAATTTCAACTGGTTTAACGCCTTTTTCCTTCAAAAATCGAATAACTGCGCGCACTTCGCACTTGGCGGTGACGTTTATCGGGAGGTCCATTTCGAATCACTGCCAAGCCAAGACTGAGCATCCGAGCGAAGTGCCTGCGTGCTTATGGGGTAGCGGAGAAGTCACCACTCACAACAGTGTTGCCAACAACCGTATTAAAACTTTCTCTACGTCCCCAAAAAATAGGAGACCCTCGTATTGCCCCACTGGAAAGCTGCAAAGTATCAACCGCTGCAACCAGTGTTGCCAGATCTTGTGATGTTTCACAAATTTGCTATTTTTGACAAACCTGGGCTACTAAAATTTATGTCTGTGAAAAGATATTTTTATTAAATTTTTCCTCATCAACATTTAGCACATTGAGCTTAAATTTGTAATCATTGACAAGCTTATTGTCAATATAAAAAGTAGCCATATTCTTTATTATTCAGTTACTAACATAAAAAAAAAAAAATTGTTTAGGCTTAGCTACATGAGTCATTACTCAGGTTGTCATGTGTCGATAAACATGCGGTGATAAAAGCAAAATATAATCAATAATGGTTAGCCACGTTGACATTAGGGATATAAAATATTAGTAGGTGTAAAATCAACGATGTTCCTTTGTAGAATGTCTTAGTCTAAGATGTATGCCAAGCAGCTACAGAGCCAAATTATTGATCACACAGATTTATGCTAAATTGTTTCTTCAATAGCGAGGTATTTATTTAGTGACGAAGAGAAATTAAGAATCAGGACTATCTGCATGTTTTACTTATGGGGGAAAATTCAAATGCACATGTGTAAAGCATTAAAAAAAAGTTGTTGGCAATTTTGAGGTTCAGATTTTAGATCATTCCAGATATTGGATGCCCAGATCTCGGACTTTGTACTGCGTATGTAACGACCAAGAATCAAACTATAATCCATAACTGAGGGAACTTTGTAATGATGTCAGAGCTCATGAGACCTTACAAATCTGTGATGTCACAAAAACATCGCAGATCTGTGATGTCACATACAAAATGAGCAAGAATGTCACCATCAAAACCCGTTATTAGTGACGTCACGATTTCAGGGCCAAGGGCCTTTTTCTTTTGGTGGTGACGGCAAGAATCAGATTGCAGATCATAACTTAATGGCATATGGAGACCGACTTCGTCACGATGTCTTAGGTCATGTGAGCTCACATACCTATGCCGTCACAAAAACATCACATGATCTCTAATGTCACTTGGAACTTGTTGCGATTCTCTTCTTGCTACTTTCGCTCAAAAATTTTTAGCAACGCTGACTGCAACTCAAGATTGTGATCCTTGTAATGAGAATGTAAATGTTTTAACATAGCTTTGGACCACATACTACAATTTTCGTCATGTTTGGCAAAATCTTGGATTAATTTGCATACACAGAGTGTAGTGTGGCTTTCTTAAAGGCATCGTGCAGCCTTCCCCCCCCCTCCTTCTCATGCTAGGATTTTAATCAGTGGCGTAGCAAGGGGAGACATCTGTCCTCAGGCACAACATCTAAGAGGCTGCAAACTGATATTATGAAATTTTAGAATGAATTGTTTTCTATTCTTGGCAAACAGGAGGGAGCACAAAATCTGTAGCTGTCCCCGCGGTACTGAAAACTCTAACTATGGCCTTAATTTTGTCAAATCTGTGTGATTCTTCCCCCCCCTTTTTTTTAATCAAAAATAAATTGCTGCCTACTTAGACACTTACTTATATTTATGTACATTATCGTGAAATAATTAATTTTAATCTTAAATATTCACTGCTAAAAAAGCTTGCTTTTTGTGTTTGTTAATTATTTGCACATTCATACTTATTTATGCTGAAATATATTTAACTTTAAGAATGCATATTTGTGTTAATATGTTTCTAAATAACTTTTTACAGGTCAAAATCTCATAAAGGAAATGACAAAGGAAAATTTGAGGTAAATATGTTTTAATTTATTGATATCCATTTATATGTATATATATATACAGAGATTATCATAAAATAAATGCCATGTGATAATTGTATATATAGAGAGAGAGACAAAAAGTGAGAAATTTAGAACCTGTTTTACACAGACTCAAAAAAGTGAAATTCAAAACCAGTAAATTTCAAAATATCCTATCAATACACACACAAAAAAGGGGGGAGGGTAAAATGCGAAATTAAAACTTAAAACTATGTACCAAATGTAGAAAAAAATAAAGAGGAGGAATTTAATTAAATTTGATGCAACCTTATTAAGAGGAGGCTATATCAGACCCAAATACAATCTCCTTCCACTGAAAACCCTTTTGTTTGTTCCAAAAATTTTGAAGTCCTCCTCGACGCATGGTAAATTCAAAGTCAAATCAAGAGCAAAATTAGAATTTTTCACTGAATTTAAAAAGCAGCATATTGCACAAAAATATTTTAATTATATTTTAGATAAAAATTATTCTGTAATATATATACATAAACTTAAAGCATCTAAATTAATTAGTAAATTGGAATAAAAGCAAGGCAATTCCTCTATAGTATAATAATTGCAATCATGTATAAGAGGTTTAACACACTATCAAAACTAATTAAAGAGAGAATTCATAATAGAACAATCTCGAAAAATAAAAAAGTGAAAGGGAAAATATACAAAATTGTACAAATAAAAATTTATCTCCTTTTATTGAAACTCTACTTCAAGACTCATCAGGTGAAAATGAATTAAAGCTTCATAAAAGTTGATTAATATGTTTCATTCTTTTGATCTATTTGAGATGAAAACTGTCAAAAGATTTTATCAAATTTTTATTAAAGACTAAAATTCATATAAACCAAAAATTCGAATCTGAAATGTACTAGAATTTTCCCTACGCATTTTCGAAACACTTGGAAAAAAGGATAAAACATTACATAGTACCAAAAGGACAATTAAAAAAACCATAGATCTTTACATTATGTACACTGAAATTCAAGAAAACAAATTTTTGTAAAACCAATATATGCTAATCTGAAATTCTAAATCATATAAAGAGCAAAACTAATACAGTCAAAAGTCGTTAATCCGGACTCGTCGGGACTTCGGCGATTCCGGATTATCGAATTTTCCAGATTATAGATCATCAGTTTAAATCGCGTAAGATGGCATGCAGAAATTCTAAAATTAAAAATATGAAACCGTAATTTATGAAATAAAGAACAATTATGATCTAAAGGGTATCAAAATTTACAAAAAAAAAAGCTTAATATTTATTTGTTTACTTTATTAAACATTTCTTTCAATGTAAGTTGTTTAAGTTACTTCGTTTTATGTGATAATACTTTCTCTTTAATTCTATAAACAGACATAATTTCTTGTTCAGTTACAAGGTTCCGCTGTTCAAGTGCCGTTAATTGCTGTGCCGAGAATACTGACTAACTTGTCAATTGAAATTTTTTCGTTTTCACTAACCTCTCTGTCACATTCTTCATATCTTTATCCATTTTTTTCAGCAATTCCACTTTTTGTTTGATGGACATCGAAACATACTTTCATTTTGTACGATCCTTTGGGAGCTCCAGAATCGGAAATTCTATTTGACATAATCGACAGTTCAAGTTTACTGTTATAGTATTGCTCTGACAGTCTGCAAAAAATAATAAGCCGGATCCAATTCGAAAATTAAGGAACAACGCAATCATCAACATTAACTGAAATAGATAATTAGATAATTTTAGCTTATACCGTCCATTATACATAAAACGCGCACGCGAAAACGTATTCTGCACTTGCGCACACGCAAATGCGCAGTCGTAAAAGGTTTTACACGCACGCGTAAACGCCTATGCGCATGTGTCAACACGACGCATGCGCAGAAAGTTTTTAGCTTTGAGGTCCGAATTAACGACTTTCGACTGTACTTATATTCTTCATAAATTCCATTAGTTGGAAAAATTTGCTTTTTGTGTGCGATATCTGGAAACCTTCAGATTGTCTTTATATAGCTTAACTAGCATCTGCTATATATTATTGGCAATATATCATAAGACTAAAAACATGTTCAGCCAAATTTTGTTTTGCTTCTGTTGCATGCTGACAAAGTTAAGCCTGAATCATATTATTTATTTATTATACCTATGCTTATTTTCTGCACATGTTTAAGACTGAATCCTGAATAAATAAATTCCTCATATACTTAAGTCTTATCCAGTGCTGCAGCTACACATTTTGAGACCCGGTGCAGTCTTTGCAGGTGCTAAATTCTGTTGCTGAATGCCTTCCTAAGTTCTAAAAATTATGCCATCCCAGTATCTTCCCTAAATTCTAAAGATTTTGTGGGGGGGGGCTCGATGCTTCTTTAAATTCTAAAAATTTTGCATCCCGTCAATTCTTCCATCTAGGAGCACCAGCTGTGCTGCACATTCTTCCACAGCTGCACCAACTGTAGTGCCAATCCTGTGCTTATCTGAATAAGAAATGAGTTTTTTTTTTCAGTTCAGATAGCACTAACTGTAATGTTTTTGCCTCTAAGTATCATTTACAAAATCTATTTTTTGAAATTTCTGTTAAATTTCTGCTCGCCAACACACTCTAACTTCGCAGTACAGTAGCTGATGTCTGAAATCATCATTAAGTGTAATAACAGCATAAAAGATTACCATGCTGTTTGACACTCAATTAATAATATTTTTTTTTAATAATTTAGACATTGCTCTGCTAGTTATTCATAAGGTAACGTGTCGGTTTTCATACGTTGATTAAAGCAAAAAATAATAAATAATGATTCTGCAGGTTTTCGTCACTCGTCAGGGATAAAAATTATTCAGAATGTGTAAAATCAACTTTTCGGTGGGGAATGTTTCGTTTGAGATGTATGCCAAGCAAAAAGGCGACTACAAAGCCAAATTATTGATCATACAGATATATGCTAATAAAGGATTGTTTCTTCAGTATGGAGGTGTTTTATTTAGTGCCGAAGTGAAATTAAGAATCATGACTCCCATGTTTTGTGTGTGTGAAAAATAGCATATGCATAAAACATACAAAAAAATTTCTAATAAAAAAGTTGCTGAGTCCAGATTTCGGACTTTGTACTGTATATAAATTGGTAATCCTAACATAATAAAGTAAATGCTAATATTTTATTGTTTTTTCATATGCAATAAACTTTATTTTTGTGTAGTTGTGTAAGTATTATGTATTAAGTGATTGTCTACAAATATGTCTACCTATTATAGCTTCTTCTGTATTTTTTGACTGCACTGGTCTGTTGGTTTGAAATATATCATCTTCCATGTGTTCTTTGTCTGTTATGAGTTCCTGAAATTTATAAAATGAAGGCATAGACCTTATACACTTTATCAGAATTGAAAAATGTTACCAAACTGTTGTGAAACAAAATATGCTAATCCCCAGAGATTGAAATTACTAAAGGTAACATTTTATGAAAATTGAAAATGCAACATTGAAAGCATCTGACACTCGGTAAGAATGGGAATAGAAATCGGTGTGAAGGAAAAAATACATCTCATTTACAACAGTTATATCGTTTATTTACTCTTGGTACAAGAATTTAATATCGGTGAAATTTTAGGGAGAGGAAGAAAGGGTTAAGTTACGCTGCGTTACAAGTAATGACTGAATGGTAATAAAAATATTTTATATGAAGCTTCAAATGATGTCAGTACAATATAGGTCTTTCATTCACCATTACTAGCATCTATGCTTCAAAGAAAACTTTCTACTAATTTTGTATGTATAGTTGTAGGTATTTCGTAGCATACCTCCTGTAGTGTGGTGAACAGTCATGTGTTCATTTTAGGGTATTTAGTCGGATTTCCATCGGGCATTCCAAATCAGTGTTTAAGCTGGATTGAGATTGCAACTACAGACCAACCCGTCGAGGTCATTCACTTCCATTCTCTCAAACTACTCAGTTATAATGTTTGCTTTATAACTGAGTAAGTTTCATATTGTTATCACTGTATAGTCTGTTATCTTTCATGTTCTGTTGTAAATATTAAGTTTATGATGTTCCATATTCTTTTTAAGTATTTATATATAACTATCAGTTTCAGAGGAAAGAAAATTATCAGAATTCAGGGGAATTAAAATTATTTTTAACGAATTAGAGTAAATAAAAATCATATAATAATCTAAAAAATATCATATAATTGAGCATTTGTCTATAATAGTAATAGAAAATGATACTATGGTTATTTAGACTGGCAGTTAAGATTTTTTTGACAAGAAATGCATAAATTTTATTGTCATATATGGTACATGATACAGTTGTATTTATAATGTATTACTTTTATATAGTTGATAAATTCTAAGAGTGCACTGTTTAATTTCATTGTCGCCAACAGGGAAAAAGATTTTAATTCAAAGCAAATAAATTAATATAGTGTTACAGTACTGTAGCAAATACATTTAAGTTATTGACTTATTTATTAACAACAATCATATATCTGTTTAAATCAGAAATCAGGAGGAAATCTGTGATTCCAAAACTGTGGATTTTCTTAGTAAGATTAAAATTTTGTAAAATGCACCGATTTGGAACGACATATATCTAAGCAAAAAATGTGCACTGATATTTCCTTTTTAAGTAGTAACCACACTTAATTGCTGAAATTGGCAAACTTTGTTAGTCATTGCATTTTTAACATTCGAATTTAGAATATTGTTAGAATAGAGATTTTTGCAGTGGCCAGTTTAACAAAGAAGTACCAGTGCACCTTAGAAATGAAGACATGCCACATGTGATTATGCATTTTATATATGTAATAAACACTATGTCATTCGTCGATTATTATTGTATAGGATTATTATTTTGTTTTGTGTGTTTAATCTTGTATTATTGAAATAATAAATAAATATTATAGTTATAAAAATGGCTACTTACATATTAGTTCAATCACCTTAGCTGAAGTCTTAAATTTTTCAGAATGTGCCAAACTCTGTCAACTATGTGTTTAGCAAATCTTCAATTTTAACAAGCAATGTAGCCAATTTCATATGTATTTTTTTTTTCCTGTATTCTAATTCCAGTAGTTTTTTATAGTTAAATCATGGTATTTTTTGTCTTAAAATCAGTTTTAAAATATGGTTTTGTGAGAATTTCTAACAGTGGAAGAAAATGTGATAAAATTTCTTAAGAATACATTAATTTTTTGCAAAATTATTAAAGTAAGCAGTTGTTTTGAAGCCGTTCTTAAAATGTCCATCATAAAATTTTCACCAAGGGGGGGGGAATGTAAATAAAATTTATAAATTTTCAAGATAGATATCTAAGTAAAACATTAAATAGGTCTGTAATAACATGTGCATACGTAATGAATAATTTTTTGAAATAATAATACACTCTAAAATGCAAGTGCCTAAAAATTTTTATTTTGTATTTCATTTCATTGAGTTTCAAATGAGATTTATTTTGGTTAGATAAATAACTTATAGTCACCCAGGGGTCCCAGGTATAAAGTTTTGCTATTTATTCTTAAGAAATTTAATAATCGAGTAGAATTATTCATAAGTATATTTTTTATTATAAATTATATGTTTTTGGTTATTTCATAAAATTAAAAATATAATTTTAATATTTTAATTTTAGAGTGAAGATGCACTTAAAGCCAAACTGCAGGCAGCATTTAAAGCTGCTGGTAAGTTTTTTTTTTTTTTTTTTTTTTTAGTTTAAATGAAATTTTGTCTTCATAAGTTCTACATATAGTTACATGTTTAATGCTGATAAAAGTAGTTACATGCTTTGGGAAAGTTTCTAAAATTTAACTTTTTATGTCTTCAATTGAGCAAAAATTCCAGTTATTTATAATTTGCCGCGCTTTAATAAGTTAGGTTTTAAAAAAGAAAGGAAAAAAGAAAAGACCATACCTTTACATATAAAATTGGCATAGATATCCATAATTGCTATTTTCATGCTGCTATTTAAAAATTTAATGATAAATGCTATTTTATTTAATTGCTAAGAAGAGCAACTTTTGCTCTTCACTTTGTAAATTCTTCACTTTGTAAACTCTTCACTTTCTAAATTTGGTTGGAAAAGCATCATAAGATGCTAAATTCATTTTTGAAAACCTTTGTGTGCAAGTAAATGTATGGAACATTTTTGTATTTTAATTTATTGAATCATAATATTTTACTAGTTAGAATATTTGCTATATGAGGACCATGTAAATTTATTTTTTTATTAACAGAACTTCAGTGCTTAAACTACTTTTTTATATAAAATTCTCTGTCTAATTTTGAGAAACTGTATAGTTAAAAATTCAGATTTAAAAACCAATATTTAACAATCTAAGGTTACAATGGATTATTTAGGAGACATTTCACTTGTACGTTTTTTGCAATACCTTGCAGCTATCCAATGGGGGAAAAAAATCAGTGGCTGTTGTGGGCTGTTAGTTTTTTCAGTGTGGATGTGGACATAAGTTATTTGCATGATATGTTTGTGAAGCATAGAAATTAGTTTCTACCATAGTAGTAGTATTTATAATACAATCATCAGAAAGTTGCTCGAAGAATTGTATATCTAAATTTTCTTCGACATTCCTGTAAATGCATGGAGAACCAAGAAATGGAAATCTCAGAATGGGCTAGAGGAGTACTTTTTACATCTGTCTCTTTAAAGTCATCTTCTGAATTGATTTCATCACTTGGAAAATTTTTAAAAATTTGAAGAACTTTCACATTTGCTCAGGTCGTTTTTATAGATTATGTTTTTTGTTTACTGAACAGTGAAGAACAGCCACAGAGTATTAGTATTAAGCAAAAATTGAACTTTTAACTTAAATAACTTCAGAAAAATGTGCCATTTTTTGTCATATGTTTCTGAAGCATCTTTTATTATAAAGCAAAAATTTATGCTAAGGGGGGGAGATTATCTAATTGTCTCATAATTGCTTCAGGATCGTTGTTGTAACTGAGAACCTAATAAAAATTTACCTTATTGCAAAAATGCTAAATGCAGTGCAAAAGTTGAAAAAACTGAAGAAAAGAAACCATTACTATCAAAAGTGCTCTTTTGTTCTATAATACACTCTTCCTTATTTTTTGAATGGAGAAAGAGGATTTTCCACTCACCTTCAGCTCATCTGATAGATATGATTTAGTTAAATTACCAGTTATTTGTACTTTTGGCAATGTACAGTTGGATTTACAAGGCAGTTTTAAATTCAGCTTATACATAGGTTTTCAATTCTGGGTGAATTTTTGCGACTGAACCGCATTTCTCTTCTTTGTACCCTGTGGGGGGGAAAAGGTAGTTCTATATCTCCCGTTCTACTGGACTGATTGAAAAAATTCAACTTGCGTTTTTCATGCCTTGAAAGTGCGACTTATGTATAGATTATTAGGATATGTATTAGATTTATACATAGCATTGTTCTAATGTACATATTTTGACACACAATTGGACTTTTTCTTAAATGGCATGCCAGTTTTTTTCCATATTTCAATTCTGCGACTCAAATTATGCCAATCTGCCAATTTTTGTAAAATGGCAGGAGTAGTTTCTAAAACATTAGCTCTCAAAATTTTAGCTCCTGCATGTTTATTGAATCTTGTATATATTTATTAATATATTTTTTTATTAAATTTATTTGATTCTTCCTTTATTATTTCAAGATTTAGGTTCATTCCAAATAAAATTTGCCCATTTTTATGATTTATTTTAAAATATTTTTTATAAATTTTTCGAAAACCATTTTAGATTATAACCTATAAAATTTTTTACTACCATCTTAAAGCAGATGTATTTCTAAGCATACCTGCAAGAAATTAGAATTCTTTGTTGCAAACTGGGGGAAAAAAAGGGGGTCGTAGATAAATTTTTAAATTTCTCCATAAATTTCACATCCAATTTTACATAATTTAATATTTAGGGATCATATTGAGTCATAGAATCGGAATATGCAAAAAAATTAGCATGTCATTTCAGAAAAGTCCGATTTTGTGTCAAAATACCTAGGTTAGAACAATGCTGAGTCGCGCTTTCGAAACATGGAAAACTTAATTTGAATTTTGTCAATCACGGAAAATTCGCTGTCGATGCAGAGAAATTCGACTAATTTCATCCAAATACGCTTCAGCTAAAACTGACGCAAAACCTTCCACCATGTTTATTGCCGGAAATATAACCATCTGTTTATTTAACACGAAGGGTTAGACCTGTCCTTACTTTAACAGCCGTCTCATCAATTTAACGGTGAAATTTAACACTAGCTTTGATGAGAATACCAATACTTGTGATTTAACTACTTGTGACGTCAGAGTACCACGTGATTCCGTAAATCTCACTTAACGCTGTGCTTAAAAATGTCATGAATAGGGCCCTAAAACCTTCCTTTAAATACTGTCTCTTTCTACCTCTTTGAATATGTGCAAACTAAAGTTTTGCATTCTGGCAGGAAAATGGAAAAGTAGAGAGACCATAAAGCTAATGAACATAAAAGAACTGGTTAGTTAAAAATAAATAAATCCTTATATGGGAAAAGTTGCAAATGGGGTGAAATTGATTATCAAAGATCAGAAATCTAAAATCACATTGATAAATTGCTTTTGATTTGCATAACAGAAAAGCATTTATGTACTGTATGTATTTCACCCTATGCATTTGTTTTTTAATGCATAATAGTGTTATAATAATAACAATATAATTTTTTATCACAGTGAATTATTTATTTTTGCTTTATTTTTTTATTGGAAAAGTTTGTTTGGTATGCATCCAGTTTGATACAAGTCTAAAGATCTTGAATGAATTAATGATGTATACCAAGGTACCAACTGTATTAAAATTTTAACTGGTTACATATGATATTAATACAGGCAAAATAATATTTCTAGAAGATTCTTTTTTGTGTTCAAGCATCTGATGAAGAATTAGGATATAACATAAAATAATATGTAAAATCTAATATTTTTTGCAGCAAATGCAGATGCATTGTTAAGGGAAAAAGGTCTTCTACCTGACATGAGTGGTAAAGATAAACCTGTATCTGAAGCCATCGTTGAATTGACGATAGATCAACAGGTTAAGAGAGCTCAAGCGATAGAAGACATAAATGCATCATCATTTGTGCAACAAGATTTCAAGTCAAGTCGATCGTGGGGGAAAACCAAACATGAAGTAAGTATGCATGTATTATAGTTGCAAATTCTCTCGGTTTTTCATCACATCTCTTGGGAGATCACCTCTCATCTCTTGGTTTTTAATTTTTTGCCTTTGTGAAGGAAAATGTTTCAAACAATAAATTAAATTTATTGAATTAATGAATCTTTAGGCAAATTCCTTTCCTTCATCTCTATTTATCTTTAAAAAAATTCTTTTCATCGGAATTCTTCCCCCCCCTTTTTTGTTACATTTTATTGATCTTTGTTTTATTATTAAATTTTTGTCATGAAATTTTATTTGATCTGAGTTTTGTTAATTTACTCTAGACAGCAGTAGATTTTTATATGAAGATTCAAGCAATATTTAAAATTTATATTTAATATTGCTATTAATTGTACATTACTAAGTTTATACATGCTAATACTGTATACCTTGATTATTAATTTTATTTTCATTATATTTAAAAATACTTTGATCAATAAAATTTTCCTTCACTTTGCGAGATTTTCTTAGTATAAAAGTATAACAAAATTTTAAAATGAAATTAGCCGAAGAATATAAAATTTAGAATATTCTAAACTAAACTAGACTGGTCCGAGAGTATCTTGCCTCTGTTTCCCTACCACCAACCTCTGGAGAGGACTTTCAGCTTGCCGCATATTTAGAGTACTCCCATGCTGCAGGGACACTGTACATTTACAAATATCCATGTCTTCTCTAGACATGGATTCTCAATTATGGATCTAGGATTCTCAATTAAGTATTAGTATAATTTACATCAGAATTGAATTACACATAGTTTATACAAAGTGAATTAAAATCAGTTTGGACTTCCTTTTAAATAGTCTCATCACACAGTGTGAAAACTTCACATTTTTTAATATTTTGAAGTTGGCAGCTATTATATATTCTTTTAAATATATTTTCCTGTATTTCCTAAAACTGTAGCAAAACGTAGAATAACAGTGAAGTAAACCATTTAATAAGGCATTTTAAAAATAACTGTAAATAGTTAATTTCTTAAACAAGATATACTACTTATGTATCATTTGTAAAATTTTATATATTATTCCCTCAACTGTAAAAATTGGTTACACACATTAACTCTGCATGGTAGAATATACAGGAATGAGTCATTACAAGAAGAGAAGTTTTCTCTCTTTTTGGATTAAGTTAAATTCCGGTTAGCAGGAGGGAAAGTATCATCGGAGGGTACAGCTTAATCACTTTTGTTTTCAATTTCTCCTCAAATGAAAAAGTTACTAGAATAACAGCTCAGTTGTTCTTAATTCAGACAATATTAAATGGCCTATCAATATTATTTTCAAAATTTATTTTTAAAAATTTCTGTTAAATTTCTCTTTGTCAACACACTTAACACTTCGGAATGCTTAAGTTTGTAATCATCGCCAAGTATAATGTCAGCATAAAATGTTACCATGCTGTTTGGTATTCATTTACTTAAATCAAAAATTGTTTCAAACATTCCTGCACGAGTCAACTGCTGTGAGTTGATAGTTATATGATGATGAAAGCAAGAAATAATTTTAAAAAAATGAATCCCCAGGTTGGGATAAGGGTTATATAACATTGAATAGGTTTAAAATATGTGATAAAATGTTTTAGTGTGAGGTGTAAGCTGAGTAGGTGATTACAAACCCAAATTACTGACCATGTAGAATTTATGTTAATAAACCATTGTACTTCTTCAACATGGAGGTGTTTTATTTAGTGCTAAAATGAAATTAAGAATCTGGACCCTCCACATGCTTTATTATGGAAAAATATCTACTGCACATGCATGAAGAATTCAGCATATAAAAAGAATAAATAGATTCTGAGAGTAGGAATATCTTAATTCTTTCTCCCTTTTCGTAAAAGCTTTCTCTTAAAAAAAGAAAGAGAGAAAGAAAAGAAAGAAAGAAAAAGAAAAGATGATGGTCAAGTGGTCTGGATTTAAAACTTCATACCTTATTTTATTAGAACCTTTGATTTCACCTGAAGTTCTGTTTAGAATGCTATGAGTATAAACTTTCTGCAGGTAATTGTTCCAATTTATTAATATTTTATCAGCTATATTCAGGTGACCATATCATATCCATTAATATGTTATTTATGATAGAGGGTCACATAACTGAATAATCTGCTGCTTGCTGTTCTGTAGAAGGCTGATCCAAAATTCAAATCATTTCTTTCAAAATGCAGCAAGAACGATTAATTTATATTCTTGTTTATAAAAACAAAAGGTCGGTTATTGAGGATCAATTAGAGTTGCATCAAACCCTGCACAGATGTTATGAGTATATTGTTACGTTACGCTTATCCATAGTTGGCCCAAAATTGCACTTTGACAACAGTTTCACAGTTTATGGGATAATACATAACTACCAAAATTATGTTTGATTACTATTATTACTTTTCTCTGTTTATAGGTTCCATCTGATGCTTCTAATAATGTTGAGCTTGAAGCTTCTGTTGTACAGACTTCGATAACTGCAGATGACAGTTGGAAGAATGATCCAGAAAAATTAGCTCATCCTCAGGTACAATTTTTTTTTAAAGTTAATCATCTGCCCTTAGGCTATTTGCAGATTTTTTATTTAAAATAAATAATTAGTTATTCTTGAAAAAAATAGCCGTATAATTTTCTTTGCATAAAAAAAAAAAATTAGAAAAAAAAACTTGTCTAATATAAAAACTCAAAGAATATTTTTTAATTACTTTATGTACAGAGGCTGTTCGCACATTTTTTGGACAATTTTTCTTTCCTGTATATATATAAACCCAACCAACTTCTGCTTGGAATTTTTTTTTTAACTGTAACTATATTTTTCAAAGTATCAATTATTGTCTGCTGCTTGACAGTTTTGTTTTCGTGCAAAATGTCACTTTTAAAGAAGCAATTAATGGAAAGCTATGTTGTGTTCTTTCTCAAGAAAATTATTCTTATCTGGTTATTAAAAAAAGTGGTGAAAGCCATGGTTTTTTTCTATCTAAACCTAGGGTAGTAATGTCAGCAACAAAGGAAATTTAAAAATTTAGTATCCAAGGAAAAAATGAAATGTTTTGAATGTTACAAAAGTAAGATCTTGAATGTTAAAAGGAAAATTCCACCAATTCAAAGGACAAATGCAAAATCATTACACTGCTGAGTGTCACCTGCAAACAAAGTGGTTAATGCTGATTTGAGTCTTAAAAAAGTGAAAAAACAATGTGCTTTGCCTTTCTCCATAAAATATCATTGAACACAGAATGTGCTGCAGAATTTTTTATGAGAAACATTTATCCACAAAAAAATGGAAAACTATTGTCACAAAGAGAAATCTTGGGTGTATCTAAATGACTGCAATAAGAAGAGATCCATTTATTATCATCAAAGAAGAGAAAAAAATATTAAAACATGGTTCAAGGAATCTAAAGAAAGTTTTTTTCTAAGGGATTTATGATTGTTGCTGGTTTTTCATGTAATGGCAAATTAAAAATAAAGAGAGTGGAGAAATTTTTTTAAGATCAACTATCACATATTTTACACCAAATTTTCAATATGAAATATCTTCTCTCTACACACAGTGTGACCAATCAGTAGAACTGCATCAAGATAATGCAAGCAGTGACCCATCAAAATCTGCTGTTAATTGCCTTGAAAAATGGAACAAGAAATGGATATCAAGACCGTATACTTCACTCATATCCTCACTAAATTTTTTTATCTATCTCTAATGAATTTTTGCACTTTTGGACATTTAAAAACACAAGTTGTCCAAACGTTGACCTACAACCTCCTTAAGATTTTGGAAGTCTGTTCAAGAGCAATGAGATAAAATACCTCTTCCGATACTATAAAAGGCTTTATTATCATCTTGGAAATTACAGTACATAAGGAGAGTGAAGAATAAGGGTTATCAAATGGAACATTTAAAACATAATTTCAGGTGAAATATATTTGAAATTTCAATGAAAATCGTCTAAAAAGTGTGCGAACAGCCTTTGTACAATATCAGCATTAGAAACATCTTGAGTGAAGTCTTCCTAACACATTTTGATTACTTTTTATTACACTGCCATGCGTATCATTCACATGACTTTGTTGCAACTGTGTTTGTGTAAAATATAAGATCTTTAATTTATGTTCCATACAGCTTCTCAAAAGTGCTGCTGCTTTAATTTTAATTCTGTGTTTAATAATTTTATAATTGCTATATTTCTACAAATTATTTTAAATAAAATAATTCTAAATAATGTCCTATTTTTATAATACATTTTCCCCAACATTTTGTTAATTTTTTCATCGAGTTCTGATAGAATGAAGTTGAGCAGGTATCTAACCAACTGCACCACAAATATTTCCACTTAATCATTGGTCTCAAATCTCTTGCCTCCAAGTACTTCTTTGAGGGGTCCAAACATGTGAACATTGCATGGTGATAAGTCTAGGCTATAAGGTGGGTGATCAAGCATTTTCCAGAATATTTTCACCAGTTTCTGCTGTGTGGGGCCTGGCATTGTGGTGGAAGATCAGCACCTCGTGGATGGGACAATTTCAACTTTTACGTCATTACTGAAGCTAACTTGATCCAAGGTCATCAGTTTTCCTGCAGACAGTTGAGTTTTGGCTTTCACAGCATTTCCTTCATCTTTCCTTCTGCACTTCATGCGTGTGTGCTCTGATTGGGGGGTGTAATGATGCACCCATGTCTCATCACAGAAGATAATTTTATACAAAAAAAATTTTACTCTTCTTCTTCAAAATAAGTTTGAACAATTGAGAAATGCAAACTTTTGCAACTTTTTTATCACAATTCATCAACTTTGGAATGCATTGAGATAAGAATTTTCTGAAGCCCGACTGCTTTCTGATGACTGATTAAACATTTTCATGGCTAATACCATCTTTTTCCGAAATTTAAAGAGCTTTACAACATTCCTGTTCAATAAGCTCATGTTTTCATTAGTTGCTGGTGCGAGGACTATGGGGATGACCTTGATTCACAGCATGTTCTTGGCCTTGCTTGAATTCGTTACTCCAAACCTTCACACTTGAACATGAAAGGGTAGCTTCCCTGAACAGGACTTGCAGTCTGTGACAAATTTCGGCTAGTGTCACGTTTTCATGGACGAGGAACTTTATAATTATGTGTTAGATAGGTTGTGTCTTCTTACTCATCATAAGGGCTACTAAATAATGCATAGGACAAGCCAGCTGCTGTGGTTCCCTTACTCTAAGCAACTCCACCTAATGTTTTCAGCTGCCCAAACACATACAAATATCCATCCCTGTGCTCAGCCAATAAAGGCTCGTTCATATTTGATCGCCCTACTTTTGTCTAGGTCAGTGGTGGCAAACCTTTTTAGGGCTACATGCCCAAAATTCAACCAAAACCCACTTATTTATAGCAAAACAACACACACTTGTTTTAAGATTTAAAGAGAAAAAACAAGAAGAGAGTTTTCAGCAATACAAAAAAACTTTTTATTACAGGAAATAGATTAGTTTTGCATAATTAATGGGATATTTGCTGTTATATACATACTGATAATTCGTCAAACCTTGCCTCATACTTCTTTAATTTGAGCACAACACATGCAGCACTCGGGTTATCTGTCAGTCTGTTTCTTGTGTCGCATTTGATATAATTCAAAGCTGAAAACAGCTGTTCATACCCATAAGGTGATCCATACAAAGTATTTTCATTGATTTAAATTTATTTGGCAAAGAATTCCACGCTTTAAGGATTTCATTTTCATAACTATCAATTGTTCTGCCCTGTGTGATCTCTTTACACTCCATCTTCTCAAGTGTTGCATGCAGATCAGAGAATTTTCTTTTCCACGCAGAGCTTTTTTGAAATTCCAGTAGCTCCATTTCTAGGTTTTCAAGATCTGATCATTGTAAGCAAGAAAGATCAAGTTCTTCAAACTTGGATTTATCTGGAGAAGTAAGAAAATACATGGTTGTTTCCATCTGACGGAATTGTAGAAATCTGTCATTAAAATTCTCCTTTGCAGCTGCTACGATGCTCGAAAATTCCTTGTAGATTTCTTCATGACTTGAAGGATTGTGTGCAGGTTGAATAGAATTTTTATTCGGCGTGTTATTGTGTCTTAATATTTCAGCTTACTTGCAAGATCTCTTTCAAAAACATGCAGTTTTCTTTCAGATGTTTTTATATTGCAAAACATCCTTTCTGACGCTTTTGCTCGGTACACTGAAGTGTTGTGTAAAATTTATAAAAAAACATAACATTGTTAAGCCAGACCACATCAATGACCTGTGGATAGTCCTGCCCTTTTTCATTCAAAAATAGCCTAATTTCATCCGAGTACCTTACAAATCTCTCTAAAACCCGTCCTCTACTCAACCATCGAACATTAATGTACATTGGCAAAGTGTTATACTGTGCTTGAACTATCGACAATTAAGAGCTCGAGCCAATTCGCCATTTTGGTGACATCTTTGAGAACATTGTCTAATATTTTGCAGCTGTCCCTGGCACAAAGAGCTTCTTGGTGAATGAGACAACGAAACTGAATAACTGGATGTTTTGCTTCTTTAACAAAGAACTATATGAAACCAGATGTTGTTTCCAACATGCAAGGCGCACCATCACTAGTAACTGAAACTACTTTCCTGGTCTTCTTGTTGCAAAAAAGCTTCCATCAAAGCATTATAAATATGTATTCTTTGTATTCTTTTGGGCAGATATGCTAATTTAACCAGCTCTTCTCTCATTGTATCACTAACAGCATAATGCAAAACTATTGCTAGCCTTGCATGGTTATTTATATCTGTGCTTTCATCCAAAGCATATAGAGTAGCAGCCTGCCTTGTGTACGTCAGTGGTGAGCTGCTGACCAATATCACTTGCCATCCGCAGGAGTCAATATTTAACAGTATTTCTTCTAAGTGGCATCTCAGCCATGTGTTGTTTAATTTTGTCCTTATTTGGAAAATTATAAAAAAGAGAATAAAAAGAGAATTTCTCCCAGACAACATGACTTCTTTGATTAAATCTCCATCGGAGAGCGATTTACCCTGTTCTGACAGGCACACTGAAATTTGAAAGCTGGCCGTTGTTAGATGGTTTATTTTAGAAAGGTAATTGCAAAAAACAACATTCTCGTAATTATAATTCCTCAGTTTCCCTTTAATAAACGCCTTACATTAAGCTTCATCAAGTTCGGCAAAAATCTTGTGGTTGGTGTTAAAGTGCTGTCTAACACTAGATGTATGACATACAACACTTTCCCTGCACAGAATGCATGGTGCTTTCCTATTGTGTTCAATAACTCCAAATGATTCTGTCCAGGTCTCCTGAAATGATCTTCCACTATCAAGATTTAATTTTGCATTTTTTTGGAGTCGTTTTTGAATAAGCTTGGTTTCCCTACTAAGCTTTCGTGTTTTGCTATATTATCAAATTGCATGTTTTTACATTATATTTGTACATTCTGTTTAATGTATTAAATTAAAATTATTCATAAATTACCTAAAAATGCTTAGATCTGAAAACTTAAATCTATTTAACAATCAAAGTATTAAAACTCCCCAGCAGGCTGCAATAAATTTGAATTTGTTTAACAAATTTAGCTGCTTTAACTTTGGCATATTCTTTGCCATGTAACAAGTAATATGATTGGCCCAAACAATTGAAACGTCATAAATTGGGTTAATAAATAAATATATCATTTCTATGGTGATATATGAAAATCTCTTATCTAGGCTTAGGTCCTATGCCAGTGCATTATGTGATAAGTAAGTGAAACGTTCAAAAACAGATTTATTTAAATAACATAGTATTTTATTGTGATTATTGAATAAGGAAGTAATATTTTAGTCGTATGCCGGCTGATGAGGCTGTGCGTGCCGAGTGTGGCACCCGTGCCATAGGTTCACCATCACTGGTCTAGATTGTGATTTGATTATAATTTTTTGGGGTACTTATTTGTTATAGCAGTCCCCAACTAGATTTAGTGATTTTAAATTTGCACCAAGATCTCAGCTATAATTTTGCCAAGCTCATAAAGCACAAATATAAAAATAAACACAGTATAATATACAGTGGGTATGTGTGGTGTGGGCATTTATCACAGTGTGGTTATTTTTGTGGCGTTTTGTTGTGTTCATTTTCATGCAGTGGGTTTTTATCAGGGAACCAAATAAATACTCTCACCACATACAGTAGAGAAGAAAGACAAACTTGGTGGGCAATAATGGCAAGTCTTACATGGACGCCTCTATAATTTACATACCAGTTTTAAAAACTGTTAAATAATCTACTTTTAATCATCAGTTGTGATTGAAATGCAGTAAATATATAAAATTTGGCCTGTGTATGTCATGAAATTTGTACATTTTGAACTTCCACACCTATAGTATTGCATACAAGTACTGCTAGGTTTGAAAGAATATTGTCCAGTTTTTCATTTATTCACAATAAAATGAAAAGTTCTTTGTTTTGAAACAGCAGCTAAATTGTTCTTGTGCTGTAAACTGTTTTATGGAGTAAAGGATTGCTGATGAATTTAAATGGGGATGTATAATTTTTAACTACTGTTATGTAACTTTGGAATAAATATTGAATTTGTTTTATTTTTAAAATTTTATTTTGACCAGTCTTTAGTTATTTTATGAGTTCTAGTTACTACCACTATTATGACGAAAACTAGTTGGAAATATTGCTTTTAACTTCTTTGGCAAAAACTTGCCAACCCTCCTGAAAAAGTACCATTTATTTCTTGCATTAAATCCAAGTTTTGCTGCATAATTGATATCTTGTCATAAAGTGTTAGAATGTATCAGTTGTTTTTATAAATGAGGTTGGATTTGTATTTATCATTGGTTTCTTCTATATATTTAAGAATTGGTTTCTTCTATATATTTATAAGAGTTTGGAGTAACATATGATGTAAATAGGGAAATTTAGAATCTGCATCAAAGGCATGATACAGATTCTTGATACTAAAAAAAAAAGAGTCTGTACAATATTATTTATTTGTTTATTTATTTTAAACTTATGTTTATTTTTAACTCAAGATTATATTCATTTTATCTCTTTATCATGCTTGATTATCTTTACGTCTTTTATTTTATTTTATTTTTTTACAATTAATTAAACTTATCTTCTTCTATTTTCTTTTAATAGCTTTCCATAAACTTAGATAAGAAAAAAGAGAGATGGAAAGAAAAACTTGCCTCAATGAGAAAACAACTTGTGGACCCTTAATTTGCAAGCAAAATATGTTTTAAAAAATAGTTTTACAGAATTTGTAAATAAAAATCTATTATAACAAGTTTTATTATTATAACAAGTTATATAAAACCTATTTTATCTATTATAACAAGTTATTTAAAAACAAAACAGATATACAGCAACATAAAAACAACAGACAATATACAGGATTCAGATTCAAAATTATATATATAGCATTTCTTGGAATTAAAATGTTTCTTTGAGAATTCTTTCAAGATGTAAATTGCTTCAAGAATTTCAAAACAGCATGTGTAACTGCAAAAATAAAATATTACCAGTCAGCTTAATAGTACTTTATAAATATGTTACTTGGAATTAATGTAAAAGGATTGCAATAGTATTACTTTTAACAGTTCCTTATTCTGGAAATTAAAATTATAATAATATCCATAACATTTGTTCCTGTATGCCCTGATTTTATTAACCATTGGCCTTTTCCCACTTGTGAAAAAAAGGTGTATGAATTGTTTTCATTTAAAAATTGAATTGCATCTGTTTCTTCTTTATTTGCAGTTGCTATTACATCTTTAGTAGCTATTGCACCTGCAGCAGGTGTTGGACCATCAATACCATCTGTTCCTGCACTTAATAGTGTAATACGATATTTGAACTGTTTATAATAAAGTTGTAAAGCTGCAGCTAATGCAAGTTCTTGGTTACGACCTCCAACGCCTTTCCCATGCACTTTCACTGTAGTTTCACCTCCAAAAAGCAAGCATATACCTTTTTTGCTGTTTTTTAGTTGTGCAGTTGCATCTAACACTAATTCTGGTTGTAATTCAATTTCATTACAAATTTTGAAGACTGTGTCTGTGTTTTGCTGTAATGCTGCTTCCATACAAATTATAAGCTTCTCTCCGATAGTTCTCGCTGTACCTTGAAGTGAATTTGTAATTATAAATGGAGTGTATTGCATTTCTTCAGCTTCTAAAAATGCAGCTTTTAAAGCAATCATATTATTTCCTATTATATAATTATTAACATGATCAAAACACTTTGTACTTCCCAATTTTACTTCATCTGGAATTTGCTGCAGCAGTTGAATTGCAGAAGGTGGTAAATCATTTGTCAAGTTATATTTTACAATTATGTTCATTGGCAGAGTTGGATCATCAGTGTTTTTGACTGTAGGAGCACTGGCAATAAAATCTAGCGGATCGCCTATAATATCAGACAGGATGAGGCTGACAACCTAAAAGAAAGGAATTTTAATTGTGAGAAATTATATTCATTTTAAATTATTTACTATAGTTATAATTAAAATTAGGCAGCATTATTCTTCCACATTTAGAATGAACTTTATTTGCCCATGTACCTTTAAAAATCAAATTTTACTTCTTTTTGTGGATAAAATTAATACAGTCAAAAATCGTTAATCCGGACTCGTCGGGACTTCGGCGATTCCGGATTATCGATTTTTCCGGATTATAGATCATCAGTTTAAATCTGGTAGAGGCTGCAGAAATATAAATTAAAATATGAAACCGTAATTTATGAAATAAAAACAATTATGATCTAAAGGGTATCAAAAAAAAAAAATAAAAAGCTTAATATTTATTTTTTTTTATTAAAACTTTCTTTATAGCTTGTTTAAGTTGCTTCGGTTTATGTGATAATACTTCTCTTTAATTCTATAAACAGACATAATTTTTTTTCAGTTACAATTCCGCTGTTCCAGTCCATTTTGCTGTTCCGAGAATACCGACTTACTTTCATCGAAATTTTTTCGTTTCAATAACTGGTCACTTTCTTCACTATCGGAAGCTATATAATGACAAGAATTGATTTAATCATATCAACGAGTACATCGATAAATACTACATTAGTAAGGAATTATAAGCCAATAAATAAAACATCTGCTCTGAATAAGGATAAGTCTGCAGATCAACTTCCAATCCCGCGGGATTGATAAAACAGATTTCGATTTCAAAACATACTTTCGCTTTGTAGATACAAGTACATATTAGTAAATATAATCGGAAATCTATTTGACATAATCAAAGTTCAAGCTTACTTTTATAAATTGCTCTAACAGTCTGCAAAAAATAATAAGCCGGTCCAATCGAAGATTAAGGAACACGCAATCTGCAACATTACCTGAATGAGATATTTTCGCTCAGCTATACCTCCTTACACTTAATGTGCAGGCGCCAAACTATAGCAGCCGTAAAGTCTTAGCGCTCTCGTAACACCTGTGCGCTCGTTAATGCGACTCATGCGCAAAAGTTTGTAGCTTTGAGGTTCGGATTATAGATCATTCCGGATTATGGGTGTCCGAATTAACGACTTTTGACTGTAGTAATTTTGAATATACTAAAATATAATTATACTCTGTAGCTCTTTCTATAAAAATTAATTTACCTTTCACTTTTCTGTGTATTAAAATTGATCCTGCCTTATTAATGCTGCACTGTACTTAATCTGATTGTCTTAATTCCCCAATTTATAATGTACAAATTATAAATGGCACATTGCAGTAGTTCAAATGACTTATTGCTGTGGTTACTGACAATGAAATACCTTAAAACCTTATTCAATTTGCATTGAGTGGTTGGTTAATAAATAGATTAGAATAATTTGAGGTGATTTTTTCCCCCATAAATGCTATTCAATGATTTTCTTTCATGATGTTGTAGTATCTTTAATTTATAATTTTATTACATGTTGTATGCCAAACGAATTTTTATAAATGTAGTAGTAGTAGTCAAGTATGTATATTCCTTAGTACAGACTGTAGGAATGTGTAAAAACTTAGATTTCATAATTTTTACAAAATTGATTTCGTAAAATTTAAAATGCCAAACCATGAATATTTGCCTCATTTAAAACATTTTCATAATTGGAAGGATGTGTCTTAGGTCAGATAACAGAAAAAATCCATAAAACTAACAATATTAATTGTTGCTTGTTTCCTTGACCTTAGTTTTTTCCTAAACCTATCAAAAAATTCCTTATTTAATAACCTAATTTTTTAAAACTTTTCACTTTTATCAAAATTTGGCAACTTAGCTAAAGACTACAATTTAGTCGTCTCCTTTTAAAAAAGTTTGCTAATAATATTCTTTTTCATTTTGGTCAATTTTGCTGACCAGATAGTGTTATAACTATGCCATTTTATTAAGCAAATGGCCAAGGAAAATGGTAGCTACAGAGCAAAATTATTGATCATACAATAATTATTTAGATCTGTTTGGATTTCGGACTTTGTACTGCATGAACAAACATCACCGATTGATAACATTTAATCAAGCAATAGCACCTTCTGTATGTACTTTTATAATTTCTAAATATAAAGATAGTAATATTTTTATGAGGAAAGTTTATTACTGTGGCTGGTTTTGCTATTTCAGCCAGGCCGCCACCTTTCAGCAAAGACAGTCTTTTACGAACTGCATTCATTTCTTCAATAGTTGCTCCTTTAGATGCCAGCAGTTTTATAACTTTCTGTTTTTCCGATAATGTTAAAGGTGGTTTAGGTGCTGGAAGTAAAGCTGAACCTCCTCCTGAAAAAAAGGGGGGTAGGGATTTTTAATTATAAAAAATCGAATTTTCTCGTCAAAAAATATATATTTATGTGTAATCACCCTTACACTTTCACCCTGATTTTCTTTGCTTATTTAATAGTACTACTGCAATTAACTTCTTACCTGTGATCAATACAAAAAGCAGATGTGAGTGATTGAGTGAAACAACAAGCTCAGATATCTTCGATGCAGCAAATAAGGATTTTTCATCGGGAATGTTATTAGCTGCTCCTTCAAAAATCTGGATACAGGACTTTAATTTATGCTTCTGCTTTCCACTGTGAAGAACATACATATAAAAATATTTGCATGAACTTGGAATTTAACTTTAATTTTTCATGAAATGCATGTTGCACTAACCAAACGGTTTTTAAAGCTAATGGCATAAACTGCATCTGAAATTTAAAATGATATATTACTTGTAACAATATAGGGGTAACATCCACTGAAATAATTTGGCATTAATCATTCACTGAAATAGTTTGCCATTAATATCCATTTTAAAAGCTTGATGTCCGCGACTTTTGGATTACAAAGGTCCTTACACGGTCTTTATTTTGCAACCATTGGTTGTAGACATATATTTCCAGTCACAAAAATATTTCAAATGCCAAAACATGCTCATGTTTTGGCAGTTTTAAATTGCCAAAACATGATCCCAAATTAATTAAATTTAATTTGATCCAAATTAATCAATTTTAATTTGAGAGAAAAACACTATTTTGTTAAAATTATGAAGTCACTTTTTATACGTTCCACTGGTTCCTATATTTTACATTTAGGAAAATTTTATACTCTTAAAAAATGAAGTATGAAACCTTTGAATCCAGAATGACAAAAATTGACCGAGATGTTTCATTTTAAAATTGAAGATCGTATTCAGGGGCTATATGCGAATTAAAGACCTAAATGGCTGCATTTGCAATGCAATTAAAATTAAGAATTTAACAAGCCATTACAATTAAGTTTAATTTGGTAATAAATTTTCCTTCATATTTTGATATCTTTCACACACATATAGATATATTTATTATGGAAGCAAAAGTTCCAGTCTGTTCCTATTTTCTTCATAAATTTAATATGTAAATTTTGTTTCAGTTGAACATCCAAGGACTCTTTCAAGGCTTTGGAGCCCCTACATACTTCTTTTTTGTGGGTATTGGTAACCTCAGTGGAATGCAATTTTTGAAACTGATAAAAAGAAACTGGCTATGATCACCAGTAAATGAAAACGTCTTACTGAAAAAAAAAAAACAAATATGCAAGACAAATTGAACATTCATTGGATGAGTTAATTAAAATGTTTCCTGCTCAAAAAGCATGAAATGTGGAAAAGCGTTATCTGAAATGAAAAGAAGTCAGAAAAAAAAAATTATGTGATTTTATGTCACAAAATTATGAGGATGATAAAAGTTTAAAAATAAATCAAACTAAGTAAGTGTATACAACATAGTATCATAAAACAAAAAAGGATTAAAAGTGGTTTGTAAAATATATAGAAGCTTATTTTTTATATATTTAAAATTTTCCATGTAGAAACTGTTACGTTATAACAACTATCCAAACAAAAAATACAGCATGTTTCAAAAGTCTGGGAACATTAAAAAATTTTTATAGTAGCTTTATGAAGTAACGAAGTACATCATTTTATAGAGTAAAGGTGTAAGTTTTTTCAACAGTACTCATTTTACAAACACTGTATGTTTGAACCATGTGTAATCCTACAAACATCGAAACGATAATCTGACACTTGCTGCACATGCCACAAAGTGTCTTCCGAGCTTCGCATGAAATAGAAATGTCAACAACGACTGTGTGGTGCGTTTTCCATAAAAAATTAAACATGAAAAGATACAGACTACAATTAGTGCAGAAGTTATATCTTAAGGACAAAGACTCCCGTTTTGTTGTGCATTACAGGACAAAGAGGATCCTTTTGTGAATTCAATCATTTTTTCGGACGAGGCAAAATGTCATACAAATGGGAAGGTTACACAATTGTAGAATTTGGGAAACTGAAAACCCGCATAACATTTTTGAACACAAGCTAGATTCTCCAAAGGTCAAGGTTCTTTGTGCCATGTGTCACAAGAAACTTTATGGGCCTTTCTGTTCTGAAGAACAAATTGTTACTGGAGAGTCCTTCTTTCAGATGCTGCAGACCTGGTTAATACTATTGTTACGAACTGAATCGAAGAACTTTGTCCTTCAGTTAAATGGTGCACCCTCACATGTACACAGTGATGTTAGAGCATATTTGAACACAGAGCTACCTAATCATTGGATTGGTCATGGCGGAGCAAAAGACCAATGTTTGCTAAAATGGTCTCTTAGGTCCCCGGACATCCCCCCTTGTGATTTCTTTTATGGGGTTATGTAAAGGACCTTGTTTATATTCTTCCTGTTTCAGGTGATGCTATGGAATTGAAAAGGAAAACTACACAAAGCCACATTCTCAGAAAACACTTAGTGCTGCGCGTGGCAAGAGTTACCGCGCCGACGTTTGTAGGAACACATGGTACAGTGTATGTAAAATGAATGTTGTTGAAAAAACTTACAACTTTACTCTCTAAAATAATTTACTTGTTTACCTTGTAATGCTACTCGTTTGGCTATAACAAATTTTTTAAAGTGTACAAAACTACTAACAATATTTTTCTTTAGAAATAAAATGATTAGTTAATGTAAGTTATGTAACAGTGTGACCATGTCATACGACGAAGCACAATTTTAAAAAACATTCCGTTAAAGAGCACCCATATCCCAGCTTGCGAAAGGCTTCAAAATTTCTTAAGCCGACACTGGACCTATGACGCATTTTTAACCTAAAGGAGAGGTTTTGCACCGTTTCTTATCTTGGACCACATGTAGACCAGGTCATGCAAAATGAAACTGAAATGCTAGATGGAGTGGCTTCATTATAGATTCTCATGAGAATTAAAAGTTCGTCACAGCCCTGTAATGCGAAGGTTTTGATGCTTTTCCAAGGGCAGACCATAAATGTGAACTGTTATTGTTAAATCTTGGAACAAAACCTAAAACCAGCATGTCAATGCGAAAGGAGAGGAGACTGTTTCTGCTGAATCATTTTTCAGGACAATGCTCAGATGCATGTATCGCAATCTGAGACTGACATCTTTTCTCAATGAGGCTAGAAAGTGCTTTCCACCATTTTCCTGCATCTAGGTTACACCTCCTAACAGAAGAAAGCCAGGATACTGGATTGTGATGTCTTCTGATAGTAGATATTGATTTAAGTCCCTGTCACTATGGGTTCGTAATATCAAGGAACTCATTTGTGGTGCTTATTTCCAAGCTGCTGCAGAAATTCTTCAGCATTATTCTCCACTCTATTCGCACTATCAAGAGACCAGGCACTGTTACAGGTATACTTTCATAACCTTGGCAGCGGTTGTATATAATACTGGTGATATCCTTTGTAAGGGTTGTATATGATACTGGTGATTACATCAGAGGTCAATAAAAGTTTTACAGAGTTCTCTTCTGTAACATTAGTAAAAAAAAAGTTTCCACTATTAGTTCCAGCCCTCGTATGTACGTCAAAATTTAATTGATCGTTTAGGCATAAAAAATATTACCAACATTATGTAATTTAATTACGTTTGGGTTACATCAAAATGAAAATAAAGAAATCTATCATTTTAATGCTGGCGTTAGTTCTAGCCTAATTTTCAAAAACTGATAGACCTTTGAAAAAGGATTATGTAGTATCATCTGCAATTCGAAAAGTGCACAGCAATGAAAATTATATTTTCCCATTTAAACGGCGTATAAGCTATGAAACCACTGATCAGTATTACATAGATTATATGCTTGCGCGGCTAACCTTTAGAATATGGTAACGGGTAGTTTGGCGACTGGTGGAGGCGAAAAGGTTACAGCGAGACGTGCAATCAGGAGAAGTAGACAGGGGAAGCACAGATGATTGTTGCAGAGAAAGGAGAGTATGAGACATGGAAGCGACATTTTCGGAAATCCGAGCGGGATGACGAATAAGCACGGAGAAACAAGTTCGCGCTAAGGCGAATCGCCACTTTGAGGGCGCGGTGGACAAGAGGAGAAAAAGACTGGGGGAATGTATCGTTGACGTGTTAATGAAAAGGGCGAGTGTGGCATCGATAAAGTCAGAGTGGGCGCATGCCCGTTTTGTGCAATTTGGGATGGTTTTTTAAGTGAAATAGGGGCGACGAGTACATGGATACCGTGTATGTGCGTTCTAAAAAACGCGGCAAGGGGTTGATTCACTTTCTCCCAATTTCGCACCGAATGGGCATGATTAAGCATTTGTTCCATAAAAGTTCAGATAAGCGTAATTCGGCGAAGATTGGGAAAAAAATGTGAGTCAAAAAAATGCCTACTTCATGAAAACAAAATGGCGTCCAAAACAAAACTAGCAGGTTGCTGTAGCAGGGTTGGTCGCCAAAAAACCGCCAAGTTGACATAATGTAAAGATTCACCGCTTGCGCTTCAGTCGGAACTGTGTGGGAAGATGCTGCTGAGCACATTTTGGTTGTTAATGTTGCACAGTATTATCATCTATTCTTGCACTTTGTGATTTACGAACTCTTTATTTTTTAAACTTTCAGAAAAGGGGAAGGTGCGAAAAATTGCAGATACGCAATTAAGCTGTACGCTTCAGTTGCACTTTTCTAATAATAAATCGATGACTGTTCATGTACTGTAAAAGATCTTTATCCTTGCAGGTTTTCAAGTTTTCTTTTAGTTCATAATCAATAGATATTTTTTTTAAGGTGTAAGGATTTTAAGGTTGAAGAAAGCTTCTATGCAAATATAAATTTTTAAGCACTAAACCCAAATTTTAATTGAGTACACGAGGGCAGATGTGATCCATCCTACTGTAGCAGAATTTTATGCTTGTTAAAGAGTTTTGTACATAATATTACAGCATAAAATTAAATACTCACTGATTTGAATTATGAAGAGCTTGGATTCCTTCCGGTACGGATAAGATCCCTGAAACTATGTGCTCCTCCAATAGCTCCTCCAGAGCTGCAGCCATTCCCAGAACGCCTTTCCCAAAACCCACAATGTATACATTATGAGCGAGTGGGAATTGTTTGCCTTGAACATCTACATAATCTGGATGTACTTTTACAGCTGTTGGTATTAAATTCCTAGGTTGAACTGCGGTATAAGCCGCTTTAAATATCTTTCTGGAATCTTCACAGAACGTTTGCATGGATATTTTTCTGAATAACGTTTCGAGGATCACTGTATTTTTCAGTCTCCTTGAATTAAAAAAAATTCCAGACAGCATGGGAGCTGCAAATAAAAACAAAATACTTTTGTAAAACAATAATACGGCATCAAACGTGTCGTATATTTGCTAATTTTTACATAGATTTATATCTATCAAAATATCAGTACATAGATCAAAATTTGTACGCATGTTAGGCAAATACTTCTGTGTCGTTCAAAGCATTCTTCCTCACTAGAGATGTGCCATTCGCTCATGAACTAATTTAAAGAACCGATTGACTTCATTGAGAGAGTAGCTCTTTTAAGAGTCCATCCACCGAGAGCTCTTGTTGGAATCATGCCAGGAAAGTTCGATTCCCATTTTAAAGAAAAAAGGAACATTTATCCTCCCATGTTAAAAGCAAGGTTAATTTTTATCATATCCCAGCTTTTTTAGCATTTATTTATTCTAGAATTTTATTGATACATCTGCGTAGAAAGGAGGTTCTAGAGAATCTCAGAACTACAGCAGAAATCAGTATATGAAGCTAGGGGTTCGATTCAATGGATTCCCCAGATTCTGCTGCTTATTTGATTCTTTCCGCTCTTCGCACACCGTCCTTAATTCGCTCTCCGCGCCCGATTTCATTCATCAAGATCATTGCTAATGGGCAACACATTCACTTTCAACGAGTCATAAAAAAGAACACATTCAGTTCATTAAGCGCACAGTTCTGATCTTATCCATAAAAGTACGCTTTTGTCCACTTCTAATCCGCATTGATTCTGACGGAATCCCTACCACCGAAATTCTAAAGCCAAGGAAAGTCCATAAAATTGTGTTAAGTCATCCAATAGAACGTTCTTTTAATTAGCTAGAAACGCTTATCCTCAGGTAAATTATGCGTAACGAATATTCGCGGGAAAAGAAAATTCAAAACTTATTCTCTCCCAATCTGAAAGCACAGATTAAAATATTTCAAAAAAAAAAAAAAAAAAAAAAACTGAGTGGAAACTGCACTTCTTATCAGTGATGTAAAATTTACAAATACTCGTATGCCGCGGGTATTAGATTTTACATTAAGTATTAAATGTATGTATGATTCTCGCATTGTGAAAAAAACAACGGTACTTAGAGCTATCCAATTTTGAATAACGCAGTCCTCCATTCGAATACGGGCATCTGGAAGCCCGAATTTTGAATTTGTTTTATTGTTTATTTCATATTTTGTAAAACTTTAACGAACTTTTGATTAACAAACTTAACGATTTCAAAGCCGGCAGTGGCAACAATGTGCGGGGAAAAAATTATGTCCAGCGCGCGAGACTGTCTATCAGAAATTTTAAAGATACGCTGTTTTAAAATATTTTTAGCCCAAATGCTCTCGAAACGTGTATGTGTGTAAATGAAAAAAGGCCCCTTTGGACGTAATATAAAAATTTGAATTTTTATTAGTGTTATTATTATTAATAATTTGGAATGTTTTTATGCAGTTTACTCAGGACCAGTTATGCACGGAAGAGGCTTTTCCAAGTGATTACTCACTACTTGAGCAGCCCTTAATCTCTGAAACAGTTATGCAACAGTCACTTAAAGAAGATATGCTCTGTTTTGAAATGGAAATATTTGTTTTTAGAAAATGGTAGAGCCTTCAATTTGTGTAAAGTTTGAAACTCAAAGTTAAAAAATAAACAATAATAAAACCATAATTTCAGTTATATTACAATATTAATGATGCTCAAAGGTGAATTATAAATACGGATATTAGTACGTTGTAAATTTTTGTGATTTGTTATAATGTGTCGAAATAAGTTTTGGTTATGTAAACGGTTTTTATATCTATGAGCAAATATTATTAATTTAACATTAGAAAAAGCGAAGAGAAAAAGCGTGATGCAGACGCACTCAGCTGATGCGTGTTTATTAAAGTTTCACGATGTTTTACGAAAATCATGAAGAGGACCCAAACTTTTTTTTTTTTTTTACATTTCCGGGTTGGTTTGATGAAAATGACTACTAAGCAATTATAAATTATTATTCAAAACTTTTAAATGCATATCAGCATCATGAATGCATGATAACTACTGGATTAAACTGTTTAATATTGACATCTGCAGTATTCAAAGAGTTACACGAAATGTGATGCAATGGAATGCCTCTCGAACAAAGAAAACATTCCTAGAATTGATGGATGGGTATAAAACTTTTCTGGAATTATTTGAAGTCACAACGATTCATTCCCTTATCGAAATATAGTTCACTTCTGAGTATATTTGATTTTTTGCGGGTACCTAGAGATAATAAGTTCAACATCAAATGGAAGAGTTAAAGCGGACATTTTGGATAAACATTTATCGATTTCGAGAACAATCAGTTATAAATCCCTCTTCTTCTTAAGTAAAAAAAAAAAAAAAAAAAGTTCTTTTTGTTCTTGAAAATGATGGGCCTGTGTCTGATCGCCCCTGAAATTGGTATAGTTTCAGTCGAAATCTGCGTTAAATTAAGGCTAATTTTAAAAAGTACAATATTTTGTCGTCCTTCTTAGTCATAATTAACTGATGTTCCGTTTCCGTTTGACGGAAATATGGTCAGGAATATTACCAGGGATAATAAGCATCAGAGGTACCATATGCCGATAAATTTGATATGAACTTTTATTTTGCAACAGAAAGTTTTGAATGTCATTGTCCAGAGCACTTTTGTTTACATGCAATTTTTCCATTTACTTTTTTTTTAATGTTCGGTCACTTTTTTAAACATTGATTACTACTACTTTAACTAAGAATCTACTCGTTAATTTCATTTGAACATAAATTTTACTTTGGCAACGACGAAATATTAAACCTTATAATAAAATTACAAGGCGAATGCATTTAGCTTTTCGTGGATAAGTACATTTTCTAATGACTCGATAAATTAATGATTTTCAAACCTTTTCAACTTCTACTATAGTTTTCTTGAAAAGCGAATTTAAATAGGCGTCTCACGTACTATTTCCCGCCATTGTCGGCGAATCGTGGAAGCGCGTGTATACCGAGAACTTTGAAAAATGAAAACATGATTGAGTTTATAATTTCCATTACTTTGAACTTGACACTTATTCGATAAGACTTAATGAGAAAATTTCCAAATGCACATAATGAAGCTTATAGATTACGTAGTACGCAGTTTCAAAGTAGCTAAAGTGTTTCGAGAAAACACTGATCGCATTAACAGCATAGACTTTTCACACAACGGAGAAACATTGATATCAAGCAGCGACGATGAGTCCATTGTCATTTATGATTGTGAACGAGGAACGTAAGTTATCAGATTTCTTCAAAATTATGAATTAAAAACAAATATTAAACATAAAACGCATCCACTTACCATTCAAATATATTCCAAAATCCCGGCCTAATCAAAATGGCGGCACTGTAAACAAAAGTATGATGTAACCTTGAAGTTCAGTTGTGATACTATGTAAAGGAAGATTGTCGTTCGTATTGTTTTAAGGTGTTAAAGTATGTTACATACTATTATTTAACATCTGGAGTTATTAATCCAAGTAAACGAGAATTTTCCCTTTTAATATTTGGAAAATGCAATTTACGTAACACACAACCAACAGTGGAAGGACTGAATTTTCACAATGGGGAAATTGAAGGTGTCGTGACTGTAATCTGAATTTTACATAAAAATAGTGCTTCAGATTATTTGATAAACGTATGGTTATTATTAATGTAAAAAATAGTGTTTAATAAATTTTTTCTTTTGTATTTTAACAAAACTGAAGGCCTTTTTTTTTATGATTTTTTCGAAGTTCTGTGAAGCCCCTCCCGTTTTTTTATTATTCGCTTGTTAGGATTTTAAAGAATTTTTCCCATAAACAAATTATTTTCAGAGAATTATTTTAAAGTTTCCTTCTATAAAAGAGTAAAATAATTTTTAAAATATCTCTGAAATTGTACTTTTATTTGTATTTATTAATGAATTCTCCAGTTCCCCTGATTTTTTTGGGGGAGGGGTAACCATTTGAAAAGATCTGAGAATTGAATTTATAAATCTTAATTCATATTTCTAAATTCAGTGGTTTATGATTTCAGATTACAGTTATCCAAACAAACTTATTATAGGAATATTAGTGTAATAATCATTAGTAAGAGGAGAAATTAAATTTTTAATGAGTTTTTTTTATTATTAATTTAAAAAGCATTGCTATCAATTATATTATTGAACTTTAGAACATTCATTTTTTTTTTTTTTTTTTTTTTTTGCGTCTTTCTCTCCACTGCATCCTTCATTGCAAAATGCTTTAAGCCAATACACATAGGAATTTCATTCCCTGCCCCTCTTGACAAAACTGGCTAGCAGCAGAGGCGTAGCTAGAATTTCCAGAGCCTGGAGATTCTCCGATTTGCGCCCCTTTCTGTGTGTCAAGGATGGAAAACATTTCATTAAAAAATTTCGTAGCATTAATTTGGCGGCCCTTGGATGCTGCACCCAGAGACAGATGTCCCCTTTTGCCCCACCCTAGCTATGCCACTGGTTTGCAGTCTAAGCATTTTTGGAGATATTTCCTATCTTATCATAATTATAAAGAGGTTTCGTGAAGCAAACCAACAAAGGTACTTTTCATAAAGAGAATGATTCGTGTTCTCCAGTATGATTCGATTAGTAGTGTAACCTTGAAAAATGTTAAATTGGTGTTTTGCCATTTTCACTGTTAAAAAAGTATGAGCAAATATATTTTGGTGCTACGTGCTGTATACATGCGAATTCTTTGAATGGTACTTTTTGATTATGCACGTGCAACACATTTTAGCGATACTATTGTAATAATATGTATGTTTTTGTTTAATTATTCTTGCTTATGCACACACACATAGTCTCCCGAATCATTGGGTCTCAGCTTTTGTTTGGCTTCTCTTTCGTAGGGGCCAAAAGCGTGGCAGGTGATTAATGGAAAAGTACCCTTTTTCTGAGAACGGTACATCCATTTAAGATATCACCAAAGAAAAATTTACAGCAGTTTAGGTCAGAATATGGCAACCAACTTATTACCATGCCAAGCCATCTTAAATACAGGGTGTTTGAATCAAATGTACCTAATTTGGAGAGGTTACTTAACAGAGTTTAAAAGCATAAGAAAACTATAAAATTTGATATCAATGCTCATAAAATTTTTATTAAACAATCAGTACAATTCCACATGATCTCCCTTAGTAACCCTGAGAATATCCAGCCATGTCCGGTGTAGCATTTCCGAAGTCACATTAGCAATTGCTGCGGTTATGGAGGCACGAAGGTCTTCAATATCACAGATGTTCCCTGACTAGACTGTCTTTCACATAGCCCGATGAAATCAAGAGGAGTAACATCGGGAGATCTTGATGGCTAGGCAACTGGGACGTCCATCGGTTAGGGAAAGTTGTATCTAAAAATTCACGAACATGCTTGCCCCAGTGAGGAGGGGCCCCATCTTGCTTTAAGATAACAGTAGATTGTAAATGCTGCATTTGGGGTATTGCATAAATTTCTAACATGTCCAGGTAAATGGTTGCTATCACAGACGTCTCGGCAAAGAAAAATAGTCCTATGAGTGATGGAGGACACCAGACATTCATTTTTGGGTTGCTCCGTTGCAATTCGTGTAATGAATAGTGATTTTCTGAGGCCCAAATTCTGCAGTTTTGCTTATTAATGTTGTTGCTAACATAAAATTGAGCTTCATCTGAAAAAAAGATGTGGTTTAGAAAATTGTGTTCATTTTCGATGCTAGATAACATATTCACAGCAAATGCTGCACTCTGCAGCCCATTATATCGTTGCAGTTTTTGTACAATCTGCATTTTATATGCATGTTTTCAATGTAGCATATCATGAATAGTTTATCGTGGCATAGATAATTCAGAAGCTGCCTGCCTGACTGACGAGGGCTCCAAACGAAAGCTTGTCGAACATCTTCCACATGTGAATCAGAATGTGAACGCCAATCGCCTCCGGATCCGTTCCATACACTTTCTGTTTCGTTCGTCTCCGGATCCGTTAGAGAAGTGTTTTATGCTCTTAGTCTGGGATGGATTTCTTTTATAAACTGTTTGAAACATTCTTTACACTTTTACTACGGATTTGTGTTCTACATAGCAGAGAACAGTTTGTGCCTTGAGGCGACGGCATTTTTCTGTTCATCGACTCAGCAAAAGCGCAGGTGTGTCTGACACAAGAAAAAAATATTGTCGCCATACTTTACGAATTCAGTTCCCACATGTGGCTAATATTTCCTTCATAGTGCTAAAACTTTGTTTTTAATTGACTTTTCAAAATAGGTACATTTGATTTGGACTCCCTGTAATTGAGGGTTGTAGCTGTGTCATCAGAGCATTTATTTAAAAGTTTAGAAACCTTATGAAGTTAGGTGCCATTTTGTACAACCAGAAATTGTTCAGAGCATCGAATTCGAAGGTGATAACGAAGAGTTCTTTTTTTCAAAGAAAAAAAAGCCCTAGAGTCTCTTTAGCAAAGATAGCACACGAAATTGGTATTTTTAGGACTGATTTTAGCTTCCTTTAAAATTCAAGGATTTCGAATGGTCAGAAGTGGAACTTCTGTTTGTTAACAGAACCATGAACATTCTATGCTTTATTGTTGTAAAAAATGGGCTGTCACAAAACCCATGATTGAAATATAAACTCTGGAAAAAAATTGTATTTAAACTGCAATTTATAGGAATTCTTAAAGTTGCCTAGATGATGTAGTAGTTAGGAGAGCCAACAGCAATACCGAAGGGCCAGGATTCGAATCCTGGAGAAGGCATAGATGTGAATTGTCTGTCCCTTCATAGGAGGTAACAGTGGCTGCTTATTACATGTGTTCACAATAAAAATGTCCACCTCTTCTGCTAATGTTTAAGGAAAGTGCCCGCCATTCTGGGGGGGGGAGAGAATTCATAAAACTAATCAGGGTGCTACTTTGGTAGACGGTTGCACGGATTTTTGGCGATTTACGTTGGCCGAATTGTTGGCGCGATTTTTGCAAACGTCAGCCACTTGACAACCTGTTTTACGCATAGTAAAGTATTCGAAAGTTAAAAAATAAGAAATAATATCGTTAAAAGATGTATTAGTTTTGTTGAAAATGTCATTTTTTAAGCTGGCAGGCCAGTTACATAATACATTTATATAGTAAAACTACTAAAGTAAGTATTTTACTTTCATATAGCAAAGAAGAATAAACCACCGCTATAAAAACATTGGGCCACGTTAATTGTATTACAAATTGCGAAGATTGAATTAAACCCCATCCAACATTTAAAAGAATTAGAATATTATTAATTCAAATACTTAAAATACATATTATAGAATATAATTAACATAACATATGACAAATTATCTCAGCCGGTTTCTAAAAATAGTGTATTAATTTTTTCAACAAAAATTGAAGTATACTTTATAAAATAAAGGAAAATTGGTACTTACATTTTTTAGTCATTTACCTATTGCTTAGTGCCACAAACAATCGGAACATATTTAAATAACATATTGAAGACCTCTGTCAAGGAATCGAAGATATGATTAAATTTAAAACTGCGCGGAATGCACAATTTTCAGTAACCCATCAGGGACTGATTATAGCTCGTTGCACAAATATTCTATACCCACAGAGAGCGGTCAATCACGCCTAGATTAAAATTATTTAAAAATCTACATAATAAAATCATTTTTTTAAAAAATGCAAAATAAAATTGTATTTTTAAATTTAACACATAAATATGTTAAACCTTAGAATAATTTATCCTATAAACCAATTACTTTAAAGTAAGGTGACGTCATTGCTTACATCCTCCCAATATACATTTCATAAAATTATAACATAAAATTTTTATTCAAACAAACTGCAAAATTAAATTGATTTTAATATTTAGAGCCCCATAATTTAAAACACGGCTTTATGCCACAATAAACACATTATTTTTTAATATAATGACAACAAAGTATCGGTTACCATAAATAACTTATCCAGCAAGGGTTTACCATAAGTTGTATTACTCGCCAAAATCCGTGCAACCGTCTACCAAAGTAGCGCCCTAATCAGTGTCATACAGTTGCAGTAGCGATGAATTGATGTTATGGTGCCAAAGTTGTAACAATTCACTCTTTATTACAAATTTTGCCTTTTTCTCCATTAACACGCAAGTTCCAAAAATTTTAGATTGCCATTTTTTTTCTTCATTTTTAGGCACAAAAGAACACTTCATAGCAAGAAGTATGGAGTTGATTTAATTCGTTATACTCATGCAGCAAACACAGCAATTCATAGTTCAACAAAAGTAGATGGTAAGTATAATTTCATATCAATTTTATTTATGTTATATTGTCTATATATAATGATTTAATATTTTTAATTATTCCTAAGTAATGTAAAACTTTTTTTTTTCCAGATACATTACGGTATCTTTCACTTCATGATAACAAATATATTAGATATTATCAAGCTCATACAAAAAAGTAAGATGGTCTTAATATTCTAAGTTTTTCTCTTTTATATTTAGGTGGAATTGTTAATATGTGAAAAGCATGTTGTTGATAATCATGTATTCTTATTTCTGTCAGTCATAAAAAAGGATGTATATTTGCATGCTTTATTGAATTCCTTGATTACTAGACTTATAAAATACTAATATTGTTTAAAAAAAGAGGTTTTTTTTTTTTTTTTTTTTTTTGTTGTTGTTGTTGTCGTCTACTAATTTTCCATATATATCTGGAAATTAAAATGTTCGAAACTGATTAAGTGTGCAAATAAGTAAAGCTGAGATTGCAGTATCATGTATGAGCAAATTCTGCTATGTTTGTATTACCTATTCAGATCAAAAGATGTGCAGCCAGGTGATTTTATGTGGGAAATAAACAGAGTATTTTTTAAATTCAATACAGTACAAAGTCCGAAATCCTGAGGTCCATTATCCGGAATAATCCCAAATCCGGACCTCAAAGCCACAATTTTTTTTTTATGTTAACCCCTTAACTGCCGCGGGCGTATATAATACCACCTGCTCAGCCGATGCATTAACTGCCCCCATGCACAGCCGAGCGTTTACTTGCGAATAATTTTTAGGTGTAGCAAGGCAAAGAAAAGATAGCAGTTTGGAAGACGTATATATACAACTGGGGAGTTAACGCACGGCTGAGCAAGGCGTATATATACGCCCGCGGCAGTTAAGGGGTTAATGCTTTATGCATGCGCATTTGATTTTTCCTTTCATAATAAAATGGGGAGAATTTCACTTAAAAATTCCGATTCTTAATTTCACTTAAGCACTAAATAAAATACCTCATTATGGAAAAACAATCATGTAAGCATAAATTTGTGAGATTAATAATTTGGCTCCATAGCTGAGTATCTACTTGGCGTGCATCTCAAACAGAACACTTCACCTATTTTATATTCCTGACGCCGACCTGGCAAGCCATTATTTATTATATTTTGCTTTCATCACAGCATGTTTATCAGTAGATGACAGCTTCAGTAATAACTCACGCTGTGATGTTTAAACTTAGTAATTTAATAACAAGAGTATGGCAACCTTTTATGCTAACATTACGCTTGGCGAACGATTTATAGATTTTTAAATGCTATAAGAAATGTTGACAAGGAAAAATTCAACAAAAATTCTTTTGATATGGAAAAATTCAACAAATAGATTTCATGTCATAATGCTAAAAATGCCAAAAGATTACATTTAGTTTTATTTTAATTAAGAATAACTGATATGTTATTCACCATAAAACCAGAAGTGGCAGCAGAATATGTTGGCACCAGACAGCAGAATTTAGGGAAGACGAAATTTTTGGAATTGGGGGAAGCACCGAGTGCCAAAATTAAGGGATGAGAAGTTATTATGATTTAGGGAAAGCATTGGGATCCAAAGTTTAGGCGCAGTGAAAATTTAGACTTAGGAAAGGCTTTTGTAGCGAATTAGGCCCGTAGAGACTGCACAGCATATCGAGCGCCGCCTAGATAAGTATATGTGGGAATTTTTTATTCAGAACTTGTTAAAGGGAGCAAGACAAAGTTAACGAACAGCTGCTTCGTCGCAATCTTGTATACCAGCAATAATGTATAATGACGCTATTAGTCGGCTAAAATTACTTACTGATATAAGGCATTCCAATAATGTAGCAGACTGCCCTGCTCCTGATTTCTAATTGATCAGTTATTTTTTGCAGACTGTTATATACGCATTTATAAAAACTAACTGAACTTCGATAAGTCGAAAAGAGTTTCCAATTTTGGAGCTGCCAAAGGGTCTACAAAGCGAAGGCATGTTTCGATGATCATTTAACAAAAAGTGAAATTGCTGCAAAAAATGGATAAAGGCATATCTATCTCAAAATTATGATAGAAAGTAGGGCATTGGAAAGTCAACTGTACATGACATAAGAAAAAGGAACTTCTGTGTGAACTTTTGAATTTTTTGTGAAGCCCTTAACACTTACATTGAAAAGATGTTTAATAATAAACAAATAATATAAAGCTTTTTTTTTGTAATTTGTACCTTCATATCAGATTGTTCTTATTTAATAATACGTTATATTTTAATGGAAATTCGCATGCCATCTTACCAGATTTAAATTGATGATCTATTATCTGGAAAAATCCCAAATCCGGAATTGCCGAAATTCCGACCAGTCCAGATTTTGGGCTTTTTACTGTATTACTACAGTGTGCAAATTAATTGGGACAAAGTGATTGTTTTTTCACGGCATGTTAAGTGGCCTCCCAGCTTTGTTTTTTCATGGCATTTTTAAGTTGCTTGCCAGCTGAGGCTAGCAAGTCTCTCACAGCAGTTTTATATGCCTTAGTGTCATGTGGATATGTGATTTCAACCTTTCCTAACTGGTTTAGACAATAAATTAGGTTTATGGTGCAATTTTAAAGCTTGTTTCTGTTAGAAAAGGAAGTTACTTTCACATACTTTCTAAATGCATTTTGTATTCATTCATTTGAGTTTATAAGTGCAGAGATTATTGCATTTAACAATCAGAAATCCATTGCTGTATGAAATTTTGCTTCTGGGGTTAGTGTGGAAAAATCGAATGTTTCTCGAATTCTGAGGAGATATAACGAGGTACTTAAGTATTATCGCAACCAGGTTGGCGCGATTTGTAAGTTTGAGTAAAAAAGTATGAATAGAAAGAAAATGTACATTATTATAGATAATTTTAATACAGTTTTTAATATGATTTCGTTTTAAAATATAAAAAGCAATAACCTTCCTTTCGAATTTTGAATAAGTTGCAGAATTATTTTTTCGGCGGAAATCTTTGGCATTGCTTTTAGACTGTTGAAAACTGATCGCCATAACCGTGTAACGTGACTTATTTTACTTAAAAAATCCCAAATTGCACAAAAAAGGCATTGCGACACTTGATTTATCATGTACAGCTATTTCTCATAAATACAAAAATTTGCACGAAAATGCAGGAAATTTGTGACTTTTCCTGATTTTGTACAATTTTGTAATTTATGGAAAATAGCAGGTACATGGATAAAGCAAGAGGTGCACAATGATTTTTGTGCAATTCTGGGATGTTTTTTTAAGTAAAAATAAGTCGAAGTGTACATGGTTTCCACTGCTCTTTTTACAAAACTACGTATTACACGTAGGGTCGCCAAATTTGGCAATTTATGCGAATTTTGGCCTGGTTGCGTTAATACGGAAGTACCTATAACGAAACTGGATCATTTTCTCCAGAAAGAAAAAGTGCAACAACTGTGAAACTGATTGATTGTTACTCTGAAGTAGCATTATCGGTAAACATTTATTTACAGGTGCCCCTTGGCGAAAATTGGTGATTTTTGCGGCACATGGACACCGAATTTGTGCAATTCTTTGGCTTCTTATTTTGGCTTTGTGTGTTGGCAATTTTTGCACCCAAAATCACTTCTACACAAAGTTAAAATAGCAAGTCAAAGATTTTCACAAACTTGGTATCCATGTACACATCGACCTATTTTCACTTTAAAAAAAACATCAAAGAATTGCACAAATCTGGCATTGTGCACTCCCTTGACTTTGTCCATGTACACACCGATCTATTTTTACTTAAAAAGTCAAAGGAGCACCCAATTCTACCCTAGAGCCAAACAAAAAAATATAATCTTAATAAACTATATTTTAAATCAAATAATGAAATAACATAAAAAAGGAAATTCATTTTATAGCACCTAAGCACTACACGAAGGGAATATCCACTTGCCTTATTTAGAAATTTCCGTGTCTTCAGTCTGTGGCACACAAAATTCCTTAACAGAATCCAAAAACTTTTCTAAAATTATCTGAACTATAATATACATACTGCCATCACCACATAAATTCACAAAAATAAGAGTAAAAAGTGTCCTCCGTAGTGCCAGACTCTTGGCATTTCTTGCATGAACCTTACGACAAACCCATTCAAAGTCATTTGCATGATCATATTTCCTTCGTATAAACAGGGACACTTATAATGACTACTATGTAAACCTTCATTTACACACCAGCCAATTAATGTTTTCCCCCCTTTCATTCCAAATCATACAAAAACTGCAAATTGATCTTACCGCATTCAGCCATTTTACCAGTGGCGTAGCAAGGGTGGGACAAGGGGGCACAACTGTCCCCTGGCGCATCATCCAGAGGGTGCCAAATTGATGTTACAAAATTAAGAATGAAACGTTTTCCATTCTTGGCCCATAGAAAGGGGCGCAAAATCTCCGTCTGTCCCCGGGCTCTGAAAATCGTAGCTATGGCTCTGCATTTTACCATGTAAACCACAAAATAAGCAACATACTTCCTAACGAACAACCAACACACAAACAAATCTTTTCCCATCAGTCAAATTCACCGCAATCACGCAACCAGTTACGTCATAATAGGGTTACTATAAATGAAACAACAACTTGGCAATATTCCAAGGGGCACCCTTAAATATATGCTAACCACATTATTAATCCAACAAAAAGACATTAGAAAAACCTGTTGTGTATTGGTATTGATATTCATCCTTCAAATATAGACTTCTCACTGCTGGGCAGAAGGTGAAAATGCTAATTGAAAAGCAACTTTTGGCATGTCAAATTAAGCGGAACAATTATAGAACAATATAGAAGCAGAAACAATTATAGTGGTCCAAAAATACAAATTTTAGACCATAAATGACTGGGAAAATATAATTTTTAATCATGAGACTTCTTAATTTATTTATGACTGCACATCTGATATTATAAGACAAGGGAAGGATGAATCAATAAAAGACCTCAACATATCCAGCAAATTGTAAATTACCCTCAGAAACAAATGTTTTGGCCCTTTTCTTCACAGCAGAGAGCACTGAAAAGTCTAGTTCCTATTAATGGAATGATGAATTCTTCGAAGTATATAGAAATTTTAAAATGTAGGATTTTACCTGTCTTGAAAACCTTTGCATTGACATTTCAGCATGACTTGCTCCCATGCCACAGTTCAAAATGTGAGAAGATTCATGTCAGAAAACAAAATCTGTCAGAAGATTCATGTCGGAAAACAAAATTATTGTGCTAAATTGACCAGACTTGAATGCAATTGAAAACTTATGGCATATTCTTAAGGAGCATCTAACAAAATGAATTGTACAACAAAGGAGAACATGAAATTTATAAAAATGTGGTTTCATGATAAAGAAGTAAAAAATACATGCACAAGACTAGTAGAGTCAATGCCTAAGCGCATTCTAGATGTCATTTCTGCTAAGGGGGGATATATTTCCGATTTAATTCATTATTATCACTGCATATGAAGGTGTGTACATAAATTATTAAAAAAATTGCTTTTTCCCAATTAATTTATGCACTGTAGTATAAAAATTATTGCAGCAAACTGTATTTTAAATTTGCTAATCAATATCAGATTCACTGAGAGATTAAGTTTGCAAGCTTTTTCTATATATAAGCCATCATCTGAAGATGATTAAAATATCATTTTGATGTTATGATTAATTTTGAGCAATGCATATCATTTTTGATATACAGAAATACATATCCTTTGAAATAACAGATTTGTGTGTGCTTTTATATTTTATTCCAAAAATTCTTTTGTCCTTCAAGATTATGGTATTCATATTTATATTAATGAATAATATTATGTTTCCTTAAGTTGATGCATTAAGAATATATAATGAAATATTCATAATATCAAAGTAATTTTCATTATCATATAGAGGTTTATTTTTAAATGAAGACAATATTGTAAATAACATTAGTAATAATTTTACTTTAAAAGTATTATAGGAATTTTTTAAGTAAGATTGTGTCGATTTCTCTATAAAAGTAAATCATTGTAAAATTATCCTCCAGTATTTCAGTTTTTTTTTTTTTTTTTTCCTTTCGAATTAACACATACAAATGCACTTAAAAAAGGAGAGAGAAGAAAGATAAGTAAAGCCTATGTGTGCTAAAGTACTTTGTGTAATATAAATTCATATAAGATATTTTTAGAAATTTTAAAATATGTATTACTAGCTTCAGAGTAACCAGCATGTTAGAATGCCCCTAGTAACTAAATTAGGTAAATAGTACCATTACATAACTGATAATTTCATATCTGTTTTGCTTCTTGCTGTCTGAGCAAGTTGATTACATTGGTATTTTCGTAGTGATTTGTCTCCTTCACAAGCCACTTACTTTTGATACAATTCACTGAAGAAGCATTTTTATGTAGCCTGATCATATTTTACTGTTTCTTATCATTTACTTAGCCCTATATATTTACAGATTATTAAAGAATGTATAAATATACAGCATATTATTTATTGAAATAATATTTTGATGCATATATACTATTATCCCATCCCTGAAAATATTGGTTTTGTTGACTGGTGGTTTTTGGGAAAATAAGTACTTTTTTAATTGCATAATGCAGACGATTTCTGACAGGCTTCTGTGATTATTTTTCCATTTGAATAATTGTATGCAATTATGCAAAAAGGCTATAATATGATACATTTGAAATAAGAGAAATTGTAGCAATACATTAGTTCTAACTGCAAAAATTGAGTGTAGATGAATGTTAAAATTATTCTTCTTATAAAAATGATGCGTAAATGTACCGTCTTTTTATATTATTAGAGTAAGTTCTATTATATTAGAAATAAACATGAATATTATATTAATCACTACTAAAAATTAGGGCAAAATCTGATCACCAGTCAACTGCTATAACATTTTCAGCAAGTGAATGATACATAAGTACTCTTATTTTTAATGTATATTTTGTCGTAACTTTTAAATTATTTTTTATGTTCATTAATTATGGTTTTTTGAAATTCTAGACTGATTAGCAGGTTTCGTTTTTGTTAAGTAGTGTATGTATAATTAGTATATTATTTTACTGACTTAAGTATGAAATTTACTTTTAGGGTTATATCTTTATGCATGTCACCCGTTGATGACACATTCATGTCCAGCTCTTTAGACAAAACCATCAGAATATGGGATTTAAGGTCTCCAAATTGTCAAGTAGGTTTCTCCCCCCCCTTTTTTTTTTCTTTTCATTATATTATTTTTCAAAACATAAATCTGGCACACTTAATTGATATCTGGGGATCATCATTGGGATAATTATGATAATTAGCTTACATTGACAACCTTAATGCGCTGTAATATCACAGCCTTCTTTTTTTTTTTTTTTTTTTTTTTAAACTTTTGTGCTTTTGCTTTTATTTATTAGCTTCTTATGTACACTTTTTTGTTATATTGTTATTCCTACTGCTGTTTTAAATTTGTATTTCAAACATAATCATGTTAATTGTTTTCGATTGATCATTGATTGAGAATGATGCTGTTGCGTTCTTTCAAGAAAGAATTATAAGAAAAATTGCACCGCTCACTTAAGTTTTTGTGAGAACAATCAAGAAATAAAGTTTTCCAACAAACTTACACAGGGTTTTATACTTAAATAATGCTTAAAAATAAAAGTATATCTGTGACTGAAACTGGTTTCATTGATTAAAAATTTCGGTACTTTTCCGTTTTGCCGGCGCAAACGATAAAGTCGCCAATTATGGTACAACTGATGCCAAAAGGAATGTCTTCGCTGGTACCTTTCGTCATTTCAAAACAAGTCGAGCCATTCTTATCAGATGTTTCTTTCATACTGGCATTAAATTACATGAAATTTACAAAAGAGTTAAATTATACCCTAACCATTTGCAATAATAAGTCAATTAGGATGCAATCAGACCTCACCCAAGGCGAAATATAGAAGGCAAATAATGAGTTAATATCAATTTAATGAGAAGCACTAGCGAAGTAAAGCACTGCAGCAGTTTGCATAATTGAGTAACCTTTCTACGAATTTAAAAAATTCTGCATTAAACTTGTACAGCAAATAAATATTTAACTTGAATTAATGCAGATATACCGAGATAATTATATTAGTAGGAGTTACGTGAGATGATCACTTTGGGTCACGTGATCGAACCGTCTAATAGATGTTGAACAGAAGATATAAATCTAAATTTGTCCTTACAAATTTATTGTCTTTTTTATTGCATTTAAAAATTTTAGTCGTTTAATGTTAATGCCTTCAAAATAAAAAATTTTAGTTCTAAGAATATTTTATGTGTATACTGTATGCTGTAAGTCTGCTTGGCGAGATTTGCGCCGTCGAAACGGAAAAGTACCAAAATTTCTTTTTTGACTAACATTTTCTCTTTTTTGTGTTTAAGAAATAATATACGTTAAGTGATGTTAGAAATAAATAAAATAACAGCTGAAGCGTTGACTGAAATAACTTGATGAGGAAGATTTGCTCAAGAGATCTCTGTATGTCGATGTTGAAACATGTTAAAAGACAATTGGAAGACCCAGTAAAGTTGCTGAAATCGATGAGAATATCTCTCTATATAGGAGAAACAAAATCTATCCCTTTGCTGGCAGAAAAATATAAAAAAACTAAAGGAATAGATATTGAAGGGAATGTGTCTTAAAACAGGATAATTTTTTCTGGTTCTAACTGAAATGCCTAATCATTTTTGCAAAGTATGTTATTTGGAATATGTCTTGCTGAGTTAATTTAGGAGAATTATTAAGAGCCGAGGAAATTGAAGGGCTTGCAGCAAGAAGAGCCCAGTTCCACTTTTGGTAGATTTTGTTTTCACGGATCTTTTATCAAAAAAAAAAAAAAAAAAAATCATTATTTGCATTGGAGTAAAGAGGGCTTAGTTATGAGTAGTAGTTAGTAACTTATTTTGATTCACTTTTAAATGCCACGTGCCACTGCATAATGTGGCATTGCAGAAGGAATTTTCCTCTAATACCGATCTCGCGCTGATGTATAGTAATAAAATTCTATTAATCAATGCGGTGCACATAATAATTGTTTATTACATCTTTTAAATCATATTTATTATAATAAATAAGTCAGCACATGGGTACAATCTATTTCTATAACACAAGAAAGCACTCAAAATTTAGTTTTTTAATTTTAAGGATCACACCGAGTTGCCATATTGAATAACTGTGTAGTTGATTTCAGTTTATTGTTGCTTCCCACCACCTCCAAAATGTTTATGAAAAAATATGAGTTTATATCTGGTTAAATTCATTGTTCATCCACAAAGATTTGGGGCATATTTTTTTTTACAACAAATTCCGGAAAATTTGTCAAATAACAGTTTTCATAATTTATTATTATGACATCTCAACTTGCTTTTTTTAAATATCATCTATTTATGGATAGAATAGTCTGTGCTCTTAATTGTATGCTTTGAAAAAGTGAAATCTGCTGTTGTACCAATTTGAAAACCGAGTAAAGAATAGCAATAAAGTTTTGCTGCCAAGCAGAGAAAAACGACAATTGAGATATACTTCAAATGTGTAAAGCATACAGGGAATGAACATTAACGTGATCTTACATTTTCATCGTACATCTGAAGGATTTTGTGATGGATGTGAAAACGTTGCTGAACTCAAAAGTGATTGCGCTTCGGTTTGAACAGATGAGAACCAAAAATGTTGGTGGTGATATTGAGAACTTGCCACTTACCTCTTCGAAAGATAGCTGATGAGCTTAACATTGGTAAAGACACTGCTTACAAAATTGTTGTAGGAGATTTTGAAAAAAGAAAAAAATTATTATTCTGTCACTCATGTACTGTTAGCATAATAGAATGAAGCTTGAAGTTTTTGCATGTAATGATCCAAATGATAGGCATTAATCATACTATCTTCCATCAAACTGTGGCAGGAGATCAAACGTAGTACAGTCAAAAGTCGTTAATCCGGACTCGTCGGGACTTCGGCGATTCCGGATTATAGATCATCAGTTTAAATCTGGTAAGATGGCATGCAGAAATTACAAAATTAAAAATATGAAACCGTAATTTATGAAATAAAGAACAATTATGATCTAAAGGGTATCAAAATTTACAAAAAGAAAAAGCTTAATATTTATTTGTTTACTTTATTAAACATTTCCTTCAATGTAAGTTGCTTCGTTTCATGTGATAATACTTTCTCTTTAATTCTATTAAACAGACATAATTTCTTGTTTAGTTACAAAGTTCCGCTGTTCCAGTCCTATAATTGCTGTGTTGAGAATACCGACTAATTTGTCAATCGAAATGTTTTCGTTTTCAATAACCTCTGGGTCACTTTCTTCACTATCGGAAGCGAATTATAATGACGAGGAACTTGATTTAAATCATATCAAAGACGGACTACATCGAAATGAAATACTACACTTAGTACAGAATTATAAACCAAATAAAATAAAAACATCTGCCCTGAAGATAAGGATAGTGCTGACAGATTAACTTCCAAACCGCCGCGTGAAATTGATAAACAAATTTCGGATTTCAAAACATACTTTCGCTTTGTAGATACAAATTACATATTAGTTAAATATATATCGGAAAATTCTATTTGACATAATCTTTCTAATCTATCATAATTAATAATGACGTTTCTGCCCCCTCCCTCTGCCGCAGAGCAGCGTGAAATTGATAAACAGATTTCGGATTTCAAAACATACTTTCGCTTTGTAGTAAATATATATCGGAAATTCTATTTGACATAATCGAAAGTTCAAGCTTACTTTTATAAAATTGCTCTAACAGTCTGCAAAAAATAATAAGCCGGATCCAATTCGAAGATTAAGGAACAACGCAATCTGAAACATTAACTGAATTAGATAACTTTAGCTTAGCGTATAACTCCGTTACACATTAAACACGCATGCGCACAAACATATTCGCAGCCGTAAGGGTCTTACGCGCTCTCGTAAACGCCTGTGCGCATGCGTGAACGCGACGCATGCGCAGAAAGTTTTTAGCTTTGAGGTCCGGATTATGGGTGTCTGAATTAACGACTTTTGACTGTACTCTGTTTTATTGTTTTCAAAATAAAGCTTTAGCTGGAGTATACTCATCAGGCTATAGAGATATCAAATAAGCACTGTTTTTTCCCTTCCTTCTTTGATTAGGGAAAAATATATAGACATATGAAGAGAATTCAGTGAGTTAGGCATAAAAAAGCTCAGTCATAATTGGTTTCTGCTGCACAATATTGTGCAGTCGTATAATTATGTTCTTGCCTAGCAGTTTCTAACAAAGAAAAGCATCACAATTTTCAACTATTCCCTTGAATCGTGACTACTTTCTCTTCCCTAAAGATAAGACTTACTTTAAAAGTTGTTATTTTTATAAAAGTGAAAAATTCAGAAAACCAGAACCAAAGAATTTAAATGGCATTCCAACAAATAAGTTCAGTAAAGAAATGAATCTCCCATGTGAACTTGCCAAGGGTTATTGGATAAGTCAAACAGCAAGAATCAGCGTAATATTTTAAAATTTTGCAGGACTAGTGTCGGCTTCCACCACACTTTCAAATCATGTTATTTAACTAAGCAGAAGTTAGCTTCATTTGATTCCTTTGTTTTATGTGCACTTCAAGTTTGCTTCTCCAAATTGGCTCTTGATCAAGAACTAAATTATTTAATTATATATAATAATATTTATTAATAATATGTATTAGCAGTTGCTATTGGCAGGGGCTTTTCAACCCACCATTATTAACCAAGCAGTTAAAAAATACATCAAAAGGCCCACTCTCATTTTAGGAGATTGTAAGAATTCTGTTGTCATTCCTTTCTTTTCCATTGACTAGCTATAAAGTTGCACATATTTTACAGAAATTTAACTTTATTTTTTCTCCTATTAATAAAATTTCTAGTTCCATACTTAAGGACCCCATTCCAGATATGAATTCCAGTGGTATTTACAGGGTTCCTTGCCAGTGTAGTTTAATTTACATTGGTCAAACTAAAGGAGCCTAAAATTTTCACGTTAAAGAACATGATTCATGTGTTAAGAAAAACGAAACAGAGAAGTCCTCTGTTGCCCAGCACTGTTGTTCTGAAAATCACACGTTCCATTTTTCTGCAGCCAAAATTATTCATAAAACATTTTCCATTGGTGAAGATTTTCTAGAGGCATTTCACATTCAAAAAAATCTTTCTGTTCTAGTTAACGGCCTTAACTGCAATTCATCTTTATCTTCAGCCTTCAGGAAATCATGTTTTAGTTTTCTTGTTTCATCAATAGGTGTCACCAGTAGCTTAACTCGTATCCAGCCACTCTTATCGTATCTTATCTTGTTCATTTGCATTTTGGCAGCTGAGGAAGATGATTCGATAGTAATACCATTGAAACTAGTCCTGGAAAATTTGCAGATATAATGGTGATTTTTGTTGTTTGACTTCTAAAATAAATCATTGTTCGGCATGTTATTTTAACCTAAATTTAAACTGTTGTTTTGAAAATATAATAAGATATATTCAAGAATGGTATAGTAATGAGAAGTTATATTCAGGATTATTCTAATATGAGTTATATTCATGAAGATACAAGTCCACTGGCTTCTGTATCGTCGAGATAAGTTTTTGAATTTAATGTGAATTTTGAGCTTTTGTTAAAAGTTAACATTAGCCACTACTGATTTTACTTTTGATTTATTCCGTTTCAGTAATTTGGTTAGTTATGCAGAAATTATTTTATTTTCATTTAGAGCTCCCATCATATGCTTGAAAGTATAGTCTCTTTTTTTTTTTTTTTGTTACCACTTTGTCACATGTATTACTGAATGAAAATATGAAAAAAAAAAATTCTTTCTTTCTTTCAGGGGGTGATGCATTTATCTGGCAGTAGATCTGTTGTAAATTTTGATCCTGAAGGTCTCATCTTTGCTGTTGGTTTAAATTCAGAATTGGTTAAATTATATGACCTAAAGTCGTTTGATAAGGTAATTATGTATTTAGTTTATTTCATCATATTTGTTGTGTAATGTACAACTTGTAAAGTATTCTAATAATGAAAAATTTTGGATATCTTAGTTCAAGGAAAATTCCTGTTTTGACTGCTCTTGAATCCATTTGAACAATTGTTTTTATTATTATTATTTTGCATGGCTTCTGTACGTATGGGCAGAATAAAGGACTCTTTTTTCCAAAGCATAGATAAAAGTAAAATGGATTCAGGAGGGATTATTTTTGTGATGTTTATACATATGTATGTATCGCGCGTAACTCAAAAGTGATTAGCAGTAGGAAATTGAAATTTTGTGTGTGAAAGTGTTATAATAACTAGTTGTGCATCTCCCTCTTTTATTGCAATTGACCACACAATTCATATATATATATAGCCAACTTGGTGAAATTTTTTTTTTCTCTTATATGTCAGCAAATTGTGCATTTTTTGCTTTACATTTATTGATTTATTTTGTTCTTACTTTTTTTTTTAATTTATTTAATCTGCACGCAGTAGTTGTAGAATTATCTACAGTTTAAAAATTGTGCTAGGCCTAACATGGCTGCTGTTTGTTAACTCTTAGTAATATACTGAATTAAGTCACTTTGTGCACCAACTTCAGTGTATTTTGCTCAGTGGGACTAAAAGCTAAATTTTTGTGCAACTAAAACCATTTCTGCAACCATTGGACAAATTGCTTGTTCTAATTTGCTAGAAATTCTAATTTTAATGGAAAAAAAATTTTTTTTTAAGTGTTTGGTTGTTTTAGGTTTTTCTGTATTTTACCATTTTTTGAGTTTTTATGTAGTTTTGCCTTGCAGTGAATTAGGAACTCATTTGATTGAATAAAAACTATAATAAAATTCAAGGAAATAAGCTTAAATAAAATCCAGTGAAAAACGTGTATAGTGTAATAGACCACATAAGGTAGTCATGTGGTGTCCACATCAAATTTTTTTAAATTTATGTTATCTTCAGTTTAAGAGTTTAATTATATAATTCATATTTGTGCATATTGTTTAACAGAAATTTGTGTATATAAGTTAATGTAAATCTAACCAAATGCTTAAAATTTTCTGCAGGGTCCATTCAATACATTCAAGCTTCCTCAGGATAAAGAATGTGATTGGACTGGTCTTAAGTTCAGCCCAGATGGGAAGACAATCCTTATTTCTACCAATGGTCAAGTAATCCATCTTATAGATGCTTTTCAGGGAACACCATTACGAGCTTTCACGGTAAGAAATATATAGAATGTGAAATTATCTTAGGGGTTATTTTAACCTTTTTCTGATAGTTTATACAAAATTTGTTTGTGTAACATACTTATTAAACTTAGTTCTTCTGGTTTGCTGTAAATTATTTTGATTAATTAAAAAAAAGAAAGACATTTTTTACTTTACAAATTACTGGGGAGGGGGGGGGTCAATGTGCAGAAAACAGCAATTACTTTAGCTGATTTAGAAGTATGCATGTTAAATAATGATAACTGCTAAATCAAAGTGAATAATAAATTGAAAGTATTCAAATCAAACTATATTTGATGATGCACTGCTGTTTTGGAGATTTCTTGAAATTTTGAAACTTTATCAGTAAATTTGTTACAGGTGATTAGAAACTCTTACAGTGTTTTTTTACTCTTACAGTATATTATATATTATTTTGCTGTATTATGTGCTGGATTAATCTGATTAAGATGATTCTTATGGTATTAAAATATTTTATGGTATAAATCTGATTTAAGATGTAATTCTTATGGTATTAAAATATTTTTCTGAACTTCAAATTTCTCTGTAAAAAATTAATGTGTCATATATTAGCCCCTTCTGGACAATAATACATACATGGGGATTGATGCTTTTTTTATGCATAATGTGAAAAGTCAGGGAGTGCCATACATATGATGATACTATGCATATACATATGATACTATACATATACATATGATGATACTATATCTTAAACATTAGAATAAAGTACTAAAATCAACTGAAATAATACACTGAGGACAATTAATTAATGATTTTGTCATAAAATGAATCAGAAAAAAGTTATAAAACAAACTAATATTACTTAATAATGAATAGGGCTTAATGTGATCAAAAGATGCCTGAAATTCACATGCAAATTGCATTTATAAAGTCATGTAAAAGCTGTATAAATGAAGAATGTTAAGAATTGTGTTAAAACTGAATTAGACTAAGTAATAAAGACATGTTTCTTTTAAATATTGAAATATATTAAAATTAATTTCATTCCCAGTTAAATGATCAAGAATAAAGTGGGAACCATTGAAACACTTAATATGAAAGTCTATGAAATTGGATGCTGTTAAAATGTGACACATTGCTAGAACAGCATTTTAGTTTCAGCAAACAAGTTTACTCTCAGGTTTTAGAAGATAATTTAGTGTCAAGTTATGTAAGTCAAGATTGACCAATTCTAAGACAAGTTAAAAGAACCTTCTGCCTCTGATTTTTTAGTAGCCTTCCAATATTCTGTTCTAGGTTTGATGCTTGTTATTTATTCTCCTAAATATCTGGTAATAGATGCTATTTATTTATGATTTTACTCTTGATGATCATGTTGATATCTCTAAAAGGGATGAGCTGAGTGGTGAATTCCGCAGCATCAGTTGTGATATCTGCCAGCTCATTTTTTCCCCGTCCCTATGGGCCTGAGAACCCAGTTGTAAGGAAACCAACACTCATAGGCAATTAAATTCAAATGCATTCTAAGAATTTCAACAATTACAGAATTCCAGGTATCAGAAAATGCTTCTAGAGCTTTTAGCGCAGCATACACATCACTATAAATGATAAAACTGTTTTGGTGTAACTTCAGCATGTATGAAAGAGTATAATGCACAGAAGTTTAATTCTGAAGTGACCATTGCCTTATGCAACAGTCTTTCCTCCGTATGGTTTCTCATCACAAAGAAATAACATGATTAGATTTTTTTGAACCATCATTATTAATGGGAGTGTAACAGCTGTATTTATATCTGAGCTCAAAAGATAATGCATATTTAATTATATGTAAAAAACGTAGTTGGATGATTTTATTGTTAATATATATATATTTTTTTAACTCTAGAGTCACATAAATAATAAGGGTATGCCATTAGAAGCATCATTCAGCCCAGACTCTCAGTTTGTATTCAGTGGTAAGAAATAAGTTTTTTTTTTTTTAAATTTTTAGTTGATTTATATTTAATTATTTATGTGATTTATTTCTAATTAAGATGATGTCTATCGATTTCTATTAAATAGGTATGCGATCATGCCTAATCATGTATATATATATATGATCTTGTACAGATTAACATTTAAAAATATTGATAATTAAAAGGAAAGTCTCAGAATTTTTATATTAATCAGAATTTTGGGATACACACATATAGATGAAACACTTTTTGAAGTCATAGCAAGTAGTCTGTATAAATACTTGAAAAATGTATGCAAATTAGAAAGACCAGTTTTTATTATATGGCAGAAATTATATTTAAGAATTTTCTATATCTGCTTTGTATTTTCTGTAATCAAGTTGAAATTTGTAACATTTTTCATATTATTTCATGTTTGCATATATGCCTAAATTTTCAGTACTTAAGCTTTTTGCTGTTGGCTATTTTCCACAGTGTTGCCAAACTGGCATTTAATGCCAGTAATGAATATGTGTGATATCACCACACATCACAAGATCTTTCCTTTGGATATTTGTAAATCTCATTAATTCTCAATAAGCTAGCTTAGTTTTTGTAAAGAATGATGAAGTCAAGTGCTCTTTCTCTGTTTTTCTCTGTCATTTTGAAAAATATGATTAAAATTTGTGACTTTCCTGCTGCAGAATAATAAGCAGTGGAGAATTTGCAGAGTTACAGGCTTGGTTATTAGTGCATGTACTCAAAACTTGGAGTTCAAGGAAAATTATATACTGCAGAATCGTGAAGTGGATTTATGTGGCATCCAATTCATAAAGTTGTTTTTTTTGGGGGGGGGGATTGTCTTAAAATTCCATCAAAATGATTATTGCTATTTGTAAGGAATTTGTTTGTTAGATAATCACAAAGCTCATATTGATTTAAGGTTTTGTATACCATTCTCATAACTCCTATCTGTTGACTGTGCTGTAAAATAAAAAGTGATTTGTGATTATGTAACTAGATTAAGAGTAGTTTGTTCTTTCACACCTACACCAAAATAGTTGGCTAAGTTTTGGTGGGATTTTTGCCAATTTTCTACGATAAAATATTTAAGTCCCAAATTTATTATATATACTAAGTATATTACTGAATTCATCTTTAGTATGCTTTTATCTCCTTTTCATTAACATTGTAAATTAATATTTTAGTAGTCCTTATGAAAATATATAATTGATAAATATTTTTATATTTCAATATATCTATAAATACTAGTTTTATATTAAATATTTAGAAAACATTTTTGTTATATAAGGTTCTACTGATGGCCGAGTTCACGTTTGGAGTGCAGAAACTGGTATAAAAACTGCTGAATTATCTTGTGATCATACTGGTCCTGTTCAGTGTGTCCAGTTCAATCCCAAGTATATGATGCTCGCATCTGCATGCACAAATATGGTAATTATACTATTTTCTATTTTTACCGTCTCACATATTTTTTATTTGTGTAACCGTTCTCTTAATATAATTATCATCAAACTTATTACAAATGTTTCAGTGCCTCTGTGCTTTTATAGCATCAGAAATCTCCGTAATATTTCTTCCATTCCATTTTAATGAATGCGATTAATTATTATATTCACGTTGGTGTAAGAGCTCTACATTCATTACTTTGATATATTGTTATGGAACAAGCCTGCTTAACTTTAAGTGAATTAAAATCTTTTAAAAAGAAAAGAAGAAAAAAAAATTGTCTTTTTGACCGACAGATAAAAATTTAGAAATAATGTAGAATTTTTAGCAGAGAAATGGCAGAATTATCACTTTATGAAATAAACTAATGAAAAGTAGTTCCTTTCATATTAAAATTCAGCCACAATAAGGTATATGGAACTAATTTAAGGTAATATATCCATTTTTATTGCATTAATTATCATAAAAGTAAACAGTTAACAGTAAGTTAATTTTTACTAAGTGTTTTTGTAACTTGTTTAGAAAAAGTTATCTGATAATGAGCGACTCTGATGATTTTGAATATACCAATTTATCAGAAAGTTTCAGTGATGAAAGTGATGATCTCTTGAGTGATGGAAGCAAATCTGAAGACAATGATGACAAGATTTTAGCTGTAGCAAGAAATAGGTATCAAATTAGTACAAATCAAATAATAACTAGATCAAAAAATAATGTGCACTATAACCTATATATATTAATTAAAAAAAAAGCCTCGATAATTTTTTATACCAGGTAAATAGTGAATGTTGTCATTCCGTGTCATAAGTTTAGTTCAGGTGAGCTAAGAAGAGGTTTTTATTTATTTATTTATTTATTTATACAGTGAAAATTGTAAAATCGTTTAACACAAAACTGAGGGGACCGAAATATTTTTTTCGTGTTAAAGGATATTGGGGGTAAAAAAACATATTTTCAACAAAATTAGGTTTATTAGAGTACATTTTACTTACATAGATATGTATATATGCATGTATTTAATAAAAATCAATGAAACAAAAACATCCACAAGAACTTGATGAAATATAATACAAAATTTTTAAAGTTTTTTGAAAACAAAACATTTATTGGGTTTTTGGAAAATGATAATTTTTCTTTGCATTGTCTTTTTTAGCATCAAATTTTTAACAAATTGTTCGATACTAAATCAGAAGTCAAACAAAAATCAGCGTTATATTTACAAAATTATTATTCGGCGTGTTATTGTGTCTTAAAATTATTCGATATCATCCATTTTGTTATTCATTTCACATTGGAATGTGCATCTAAATAACTGCACATACTTTTTATGATGTTCCTCATTCGGAACAGGAGCTGCATTATTCATTTCATTCGGAATCATTAATGATATGTTGAGTTTTGAACAAACTCCAAAATATCTTTGTCTGCCATAATTGGGGCTGTACACACATTATCATCAACTACTGCAGTGAATTCTTCCAATAATGCAGTAGAAATTAATACAGAAACTTTCTCAAACATTTCATTAAGTGTCAGCTCAGTTTCAATATCCTCCTCCTTCACTTCTTTTGGCACCAAAGAATCTGATATTTTTTAGAATCATGCATGACGAAAATAATTTTCACTCATCCTTAGAGTCACTGAATTCCATGCAGAGTGCAACAACAACTCACTGATTTTTGCTCACACTGTGATGTACTTGTCACCGAATTCCAAAGCCAACTGATGAGGGATGAGATGTTTGTGTGGCGTTTGTAGGTGTATAAGGTGAAAGTAGCTTAGGTTAACAAAACTGGCACGTGTCACAGGCCATTCCGAGGATATTTCAAGGCCAAGTTAGCTTTTCTTTCATTTCATGTCCCGCTTAAATCTCGCCTACGAGGCCGGTGTTTTCTGCATTTTATTCATTCCCAGAAAGGATATTTTTTCATGTTAAGCAATTTTTATTTCATGTTAAAAGAAACAAAATGCATGAAAATACATAGTAGTTTGTCTGGACCATTGTATTATTTCATGTTAACCAATATTTTGTCTTAAGCATTTAGTTTTAAATGCGTTTCACTCTACAGTACAAAGTCCGAAATCCGAACTCGTCGAGTTTGTGCCAAAATCCGGACTCATCGGGACTTCGGTGATTCCGGATTTGGGATTTTTCTGGATATTAGGATCTCCTTACATCTAGTAACACATGACATGTAGAAATTATAAAATTAAACTATGACACCGTAATTTTATGGAATATCTCAAGGGTTTCAAAATTTACAAAACAAAAAAAAAAAAAAACTTAAATTTATTTGTTTTCCCCTTATTAACATTCTTTCATGTAAGTTTTGTAAATTGCTTTGTTTTTGGTACTAATACTTTCTCTTTAATTCTGTAGACAGACATAATCTCTTGTTGAGTTACATTGTTGAAGTCCTGTAACTGCCGTTTGGAGAATGTTACTGATGAATCTGTGTAATGGCATTATAAATTTACACAGCATTCAAGAATAACCAAACTAGAAAAAAGCAGAACATATGCAGAAGTATTGTAATTGATTGAAACCCAATACTGGCTGTGTCCATTTCATTATACAAGGATGCTTTTTATTGCTATGAAATACATATTTCTAAATTAATTTTATATCTACTGCATGCATGTTCATTACACATTATAAAAATATTGTTTTTACATTTAAAAATGCTTTTTTTTAGGCTTTTTGGCTTCCGACTGTAGATGAAAACATCTGAAAGAAATCATTAAGCCGTGCTTCATTTGTGAATCCTGTGCTTTGTGTTTTGATGCATCTTCCTTCTGACAATTTTAAAATATCATTAACAAACTGTAATTTTTGACATAATTTAGCATGTAATATTTACCATTTGCTCATGACTTCATCTATCAAGTTACGTAGTGACTGGCATTGTTTTTAATGCGGACATTTCTACTCAAGCCCTTTTATTGCCATTGTATCTGTTTATTTATCACTGTAGATATTTCTTGTAGAATAAAATGTCTTTGCCTTTTGTAATTATGTTAAAAAATTGACAATGTTATCTGTTTTTATCGTTCTATACCTGTTAAGAAGAGTATTTCTACTTTTTATCAATAAATTTTACTTTATACAAAATGCTTTGTAGAAATTTAAAATATGCGATTAGTTATACATTAGTCATTTTCAAATTATTATAAAGTCTCATCTATCTGGAAAGCTCAGAAATGCCAAATGTCGGATATGTGAAAATTCTGAATAGTTGAGTATATAAAATATGCAATTCACTGTAGAAAAGTCAAATGAAGGGGAGAAGAAATTGCTGAAATAAAATTAAAACAAAGTCATCTGATTTGTTATTAACATGAATGTCTATGTTCTACATTTAAATTTATGTAAGATTTGAGAAAACAGATTGCATTTCAGACTTAAAAGCCAACATGTTTTCATGGGTAAAACCGTGTGAGTGTAAAACATCTTTTCTGATTATTAAATTCTGTTAATGATGAGAATTGACAGAGATATCCCCAGTGTGGCGGCGGGTATTCTGACAGAAGTTTGAAGGAACAGATTTTTTTTTTTATTTCGTTTGGTGGTCAATAGATTCGTGTTATGGTTATATAAAAAAACTTGAAATTTTTTGTCAGAATTTTTAATTTTCCTTGCCAATGTTCATCTTTTTTTAAGTAATGTTGCATATTGTGTCCACTAATGCACGCTTTTCTTAATGACAGGAAACCATAACTTGGAAAATATTCTACGGCTTGCTGTTGTATTGAAAAGGCCCAGAATTTTAATATTTTTTGAAAGTGCAAGAGAAAAAACACATAAAAAGTAGTTAATTCAATTTTTTGCACCATCTCTCATATTTCTCCTGGTTGGATAGCTACACTGATGTTTAATGAATTTTTGGATTTTTCTAGTAACTTCATTTAGAACTTGCACTTCAACTAGATTAATTGTTTATTTGAATATGGCAAAACACATGTATGCTATTTAACTAAGAGGAGGGAGGGCTTCATGGAGGACCTTTGCTAGGAAAACTAGCTCATATTCACAACCTAGGAAACTATGAAGTCCAATCATGTAGCCAGCCTATTCGCCTAGCTTGGGCTCTGTAACAAATCACAAGTATTCAGCAGTCTTCAACAGTTAGGCCAGTCATAGGGCTCATTTGAATTAGGAGCCAGGTTATTAGTCTCTAATTTACTATATTTGTAAATTTGTAAAAGATAGTTGTATTCTCTGATACAAAATACAGAATTTAAGTTTTGTTATCTCGTTACTAAACTCCCAACTATAATGTAAATGACTATTCAATTAGGTTGCTATTATTGTATTTATTTAGTGTTCTTCGAATCTGAGCTTAAGGATGGGGTGATAGTGTCCTTGCTGCCTTAGAAGATTAAGTAAGTATTTAGGTTAAGTGATGTTAGGTTTGTCTTATAATCTGAGGTGTGAAAACAATTCTGCAGTTTTAAATGTTTGCCCGAGTAGTCGACTTCTTGTAGTTGAATGGCTGAGAATTAATCAGATGATTTTTAATCATACATTATTTAATCAGAAACATTGTTCCAAATGCTTTGTATTGCATAATAATGCATCTTCCAACCAGTCAATAACTATTTTGTAAAACCGCTTCTGTTCCGATAGTAAGTATCGTACCAGTCGGCCCCATGTTGTTCCAGATTTGCCTTCTTGTGATTGGTTTTCTAAAAACTAAAGTTGCTTCTCAAAGAAAAGACTTTTTTGATATGGAAGAAACAAATGGCACATCTAAAGAGCTTGTCAAAAACAGACCTCTCCAAACCTCTTTCAATACATGTCATACTTGCATTAACACTGGAAGTTGCATCAGTGTAAGTCAGACAACAGTGTAAGCTATATTTTTAATACATTCTGATTACTTAATTACCATACGGTGAATATACACTAAAACATCAATTCATTAGGAATTAGTAGGAATTTTAGACAAAATATTTGCAGAATTAAGAATTCCAGTGAAGTCAAAGTGAAGATTGATGCATGCGTTTCAAAAATTAATCCAAATCAAAGTTAAATTTTCAGTACTTTTTTCTTTGTGTGTGGGGGACGGTGAATGTACACTAAAACATCAATTCATTAGGAATTAGTAGGAATTTTAGACAAAATATTTGCAGAATTAAGAATTCGGGTGAAGTCAAAGTGAAGATTGATGCATGCGTTTCAAAAATTAATCCAAATCAAAGTTAAATTTTCAGTACTTTTTTCTTTGTGTGTGGGGGAGGTTTCTGCTACTTTGACTTTTTGAAACTTGACTATATTTGGATTGAATCTTTACTTTACCCACATGAAAATGAAAATCTTAGGCATGATATGCATATTTCATAGCACCTAATTTCAAATTCAGATTTATGAAGATAAATTAAGCTTTAAGAGTTTGACAGTTTGAATCATTTCCCAGGTTTTAGTAAAAATACATGAAATATGAATTTTTACATTAATCCTCTTACAAAGAATGTTTTAAGTAGGTAGGTTTCCTTCATACTGTTACAGATAGTGTACTAAAAAAATATGCTGTTTAATATGGAAATTATTGGTCTTGAATTTTTTTTAAATAATGTGATTAGATTGTTTGCATCCAATATAAGAACAGGATCACTTGATGGAATAGAATAAATGGCACCTTCAAATCAAAAAAGTTTGGAAGATGCTTTATTTCTTTGTCATTTGGTAAAAATGTTTTAACTCAAATATTTTTTCTTTAGGCTTTCCATTATTTATTACTAAAACATGTAAAAAAAAAAAAGCAATCTCCACAAAAATGCAAGTGAAATTTTAAAAGGATTTTACAAGCATACAAAATTTATGGAAACATAATTGTCGAACACCTGAATGTTCTTGTGTCAACACTGAAGACAAATTTAGATGGAAATTAGAAGAAAGAACAACAATTTGCTGTAAAATCCACTTTAAAAAGTTATGTTTTCAAAGAAAAATGCACCATATTTTGCAGTGATATCCCATATTGATAAAAGTCTATACTGATAAAAGCCCATGTGAATAAAAGGTCCTCAAAAGCTATTTTAATGGTATATGGCTAAGATTAATTACATATATGTTTCAGTATTAAAAATGAGAGGGTTGTTTTAGAGCAGAATAAATAAATTTATAAAAATAATTTATTTTATTTTAATTGCCTCTTCTAGCTCTTGAAATATAATATAAAACATCTGTAAGGATAAAAGGTTAAAGAAGATAGTGACAGAGTTTTGTTTAGCAGGAATAACATTTCATTTCTGAATTTTAAGAATTTTGCTTTTACAAATGTCCCATCCTAAATTAAAGCTATTCTTGCACTTACCTTTGTTTATAATTAATTAATAAAAATTGTTAATCTACCCATCATTGTTTATACCTTATGGTATCAAATGTTAAATTCAGATTTTAATTTTTAAACTTGTGGTAAGTTTTCTAAAGAACATTTCTTTTCTTTGAAAGAATGCAACTGTTTTTTTACACTAATTTTATGACAGCTGTATAACTTTCAGTTTTCTCAGATAGAAAGCTTTTTAGAATATTAAACTATATATTTCATTACATTGTGTTTTTTTTTTTAATATTATTAAAGTTAGCAGCTACTCATATATAAACAGTTAAAGTACTGATAAATGTACTGGGTGTCCGAAAATCTTCCCTGATTACATAATTGATAACTCAGGCTAGAAGTTAAAATACAAATATGAAACGGTGTCTAATTGTTACAACTATCAAGTTTTTTTCCACATCATAACTTCCACATGAGCACCTTGGAGCCTAGCACATCTAGGCGATTTCATTCCGTCCACCATAGCCAACATACCTGGAGGGATCGATTTCAAGACTGTGGTTATCCGTTGCGCATGGTTTCAAGATCTGGTAAGTTTCAGTATACCTGTCCTTGACATAACCCATAAAAGAAGTCTAATGGGTTATGTTGGAGTGTGGGGCCAAACCATTGGCCCCTCACGACCATCCATCACCCATGAAGGTCATATCGAGATAGGCACGGACGTCCCAACCCCATGAGGCGGTGCACCGTCTTGCTGAAAAAGAACATCGGGGGAACTGAAGCAGCTGAGGAACACATACAGTTGCAACTGTCCAGATACATGCAGATGTGATGGTGCCTCATCGAAGAAAATGGCGTATTCATCGTGCAATAGGTGCACCAACTTACCTTTGGGCTGCCTCTGGTGCATCCATGCCCGCCAGGGGGTGTGAACCCCAACTGCGCACATTATGGCGATTCACTACTCCACTGACAAGAAGGTTGCTTCGTCGGGAAAGGCAATTCATTTAGAAACATCATCGTCCTCATACGTGATAGCATTCGACCGCAAAGTCATATCGACATTAGTCATTGGGCACAAGGCCTGAACGATTTGCACTTTGTATTCACGAAACATAAACGTTTGTGTAAAATGTCATGGAGAAGCTTTTGGTATCTGTAATTACTGAGGCCCTGCGCACCGCTTTCTTCAGACTCGCGAAAAGACTGCCTCACAGCTTCACCTGTCTGCCGAGGTTTGTCGACAGACTCGGAAAGTCAGCCCGCCTCCTGTGTTTTCTTTGACTTCTCATACCTGGCTTATGCTCTGAATCAGGTGGATTCCTTCGAAAGTTGTCCTGGAAGTGTCTCTGCACTGTGGTTGATGAGTGTTTTCATTGTCCCAGGCACACGTGCCTGCTCCTGAATGGTTAACATGGCCTCTTGGGCACTGTACCTCATCCACTACTTACGTACTGAGAGCCTAAAAGAGAAAAAAAAACTTTGATAGTTTGTAAACAATTCGACACAAGTTTCATATTTGTATCCTACTTCTAGCCTGAGTGATCAATTTATGTAATCAGAGAAAGACTTTTTGGACACCCTGTATATTAAGTCAGATTTTGAAAAAATGTATATCAGAAACTTGCAAGTGTAGTTAAGCTTAAAGTTATAAAGATAAGGTTAGTTTATTCAAATATGGAAAAAGCTGACAAGGGCTATCTTAACTGAGAGGAGGGATGCCTTCGTGGAGAACTTTCTAA